GCCCCATCCTGACCACCGCATCTGTGAGTGTGGCACATGGGGTTCCTGCTTACCGAAGTGCTTACCCCCATTCCCCAATAAGGGCAGAAGTGGTGCTTTATGCTGCCTGGGGCAGGCACGCCTCTGATGCTGCCCTAGCATTCTAAGAATGTTTTCCAAGTTAGCCTTCTAGATATCTGGCAAGTGTCTGGTTTCTTTTAGGGAAGCCATACCTTTTTAAGACATTTTCTTGCATGTAAACCCGGGAGTAAATTGTACATCCTGAGCTATAGGCTCGTATAGTGAAGTTGCAGTTCTTGTTTGTCAGAGTTTAACTGCTGTTTAGGCTATAAGTGAACTTTAGTCTCCATATTTGTACTAACCTAATGTGCTCTTTGAGGTTTTAGGCTTAATACTGCCTATTCTAGAGCAGAACTTGATCAGTCAGTAAATATTGTAGATCAACAACTGCCGGGAAAATAATCATTTGAGAAACTGGGTTTTGAGTTTAACTCTGAGGAGTAGGACAGAAGGTGCGTTACAGAAAGAGAGCAACAGGAGGCTGGTGAGGCAAGAGCTGAAGGGGTCTCCTTTATTCCCACACCCTTAAGCATTTTGTAAGTTTTGAAAACAAAATCTGGCTGCAAAGAACTAGAGGAAAAATTCTCCAGTGTCCTGTGTGTTTGACTGTTCAAAGCTGCCTTTCTTCAAGCAAAGCAGAGGCAAACTTTCATCCTCTGCAGTGGTTTTTCCTTCCCTTTGCCAGTATGGTGGGATACCTCTCCATATCTTACTGTAATGTATCCCTGATGTGGGTGAGGAGAACTTGTTCCAACAGTGTGTGTCTTCCTCCACAGGTGACCTTGCAGCCATGAGCAGCAATGAGTGCTTCAAGTGTGGGCGTACTGGCCACTGGGCTCGGGAGTGCCCCACTGGAATTGGCCGTGGTCGTGGTATGAGGAGCCGTGGCAGAGGTGATTTGATTGCTGTGGTTTTCATTGTGTGTGTAGTAAGATATGTAGCTGACTGTTGTGTATAGTATGTAAATTCAGTTCTCTCAGTGTGCAGTGAAGCAGTCAGGACACAAATGGGTAATAAGGTTTGCTGGTTCTTACTTCTGCATAAGAATTTTGCCAGGGGCATCAGAGAGTGGAGCTAACTTGTCAGTTCAGGGGGCAGTGTCCCTCATTAACTCTGAGGAATATTCTGAATTTAAGGATTAAGCATTTTTTTTCTCCTGTTGCCCATTTCAAGCAGGCTTCCAGTTCATGTCCTCATCTCTGCCGGACATCTGCTACCGCTGTGGTGAGTCTGGCCATCTTGCCAAGGACTGTGATCTTCAGGAGGATGGTAAGTATCACTAAATATTCTATCTCCTCAATCACATGGACAGAGAATTGTGGTTGAAGAGAATGGTTCAGTACACTGATGGTAATTTACTGGGAACAAGCTGTATGTGTCCTTCCTTGGAAGCATGCTACAGCTCGCTCTACCAAGGTTTTATAGTCTTGTTTGGTGTGTTTTTCTTATTGTGGAAGCCTGCTATAACTGCGGTAGAGGTGGCCACATTGCAAAGGACTGCAAGGAGCCCAAGAGGGAGAGAGAGCAGTGCTGCTACAACTGTGGCAAACCTGGCCACCTGGCTCGTGACTGTGACCACGCAGATGAGCAGAAGTGCTATTCCTGTGGAGAGTTTGGACACATTCAGAAAGACTGCACCAAAGTGAAATGCTATCGGTAAGGACTGGGAAGGGGCAACTGCAAAAGCCACCTGAAGGGATGGATGTGTTCTTTATCTAGTTTTGATTAGGAAGTGAAGCTTAAACTTGGACCAAGGAGCTTGTTTCTTGGAACAGTTGTTTAAGACTTAAATGCCTGTTAGCGAAGTCAAGTAGTGGACTTGATGCATGTCTCTGGATGGCCAGAGCCATGCAGGCTTGTGCCAGAAAGCAGCACATTCCCGAGTGCACTGTTCTTGCCCCCACTGAGGTTCCCTCCTGTGGAGGAAGGAGTGAGAACATGGTGCATTTGAGTTAAAAGTAACTGCTCTCAAAACAAGGCTAAATTGCAGGCAGAAGTATTGGAGCAAGCAAACCCCAGCGCGTGCACACACACACCCCAAAGCCACAAACTTCTGTATTCGATGTACAGTGGTTTTGGCATACACAGTGATGAATTAGAGCTGATCAGTTGGGGAACAGTTCCTGGCTGTGGTGAAGACAGAGACTTGCCTCATGTCAAAGACTTCTGGAACACTGAAACTGATGTCTTGAATGTGGAACTAGCATTGCGTGAGCAGATGATGCACTTGTCAGCACAGGATTGCTTCTGCCGGTACCTGTTGTGGATGGTTCTGATAAAAGCCTTTGCCTTTCCCAGGTGTGGTGAAACTGGCCATGTAGCCATCAACTGCAGCAAGACCAGCGAAGTCAACTGCTACCGCTGCGGCGAGTCAGGGCACCTTGCACGGGAATGCACAATTGAAGCTACAGCCTAACTATTTTCCTTTGTCGCCCCTCCTTTTTCTGATTGATGGTTGTATTATTTTTCTCTGAATCCTCTTCACTGGCCAAAGGTTGGCAGATAGAGGCTACTCCCAGGCCAGTGAGCTTTACTTGCCGTGTAAAAGGAGGAAAGGGGTGGAAAAATCAACTTTCTGCATTTAACTACAAAAATGTTTATGTTTAGTTTGGTAGAGGTGTTATGTATAATGCTTTGTTAAAGAACCCCCTTTCCGTGCCACTGGTGATAGGGATTGATGAGTGGGAAGAGTGGAGTCAGACCAGCAAAAACCCTCTCTGGGTTACATGGAAGTGATCCTATGCAGGAGGAAAGAAAATTCTGGAAGTGTCTAAACTTCCTCATAACTTTTATTACAATGGCCTTGGATTGTCTGACCTCAGTAGCTGTTAACACCAAGTAATACCTGTATCGGGCCCTACCTAGAGCATATAGCTGAGTGGGAGTAAACAAACAAGATGCACATGCCTGTTAATGGCCATGAGAGAGAGAGAGAGAGAGAAATCAGGAATAAACTTAAAAGTAACAGTAATTCAGTCAATGAATGTTCATGTTGGAGTTACAGAACGTTATGGGGAGCTTTTGAATAAATACTTCAATCTGGAACCCAGACATCAGTGCTCATAGCATATACAATTTGGAGCTATTCAGGAGTTGCAAATAAATGCATTTTCACAGAAATCAAGATGTTATTTTTGTATACTATATCACTTAGACAACTGAGTTTCATTTGCTTGTAATCAGTTTTTAAAGTAAGATGGTAAAAGCAATTGAAGTCCTAGAACATAGAAAATGTAATTTTAAACTATCAATAAAGCTGGAGGAGGAAGGGGAGTTTGGCTAAAGTTCCTTTTGTTTATTTTTGGTTTCATGTACACAGTGCAAAATAACATATTAAAAAGGGGTATGTGGAGGTGTAAAAAGCTTAGTTTGGACTTTTTCTTTTGTGCTGTCTTCAGTTCCCATGGGGTAGGGTTACTGGGGCCGTGTTGTGCGTGCAGCCTGCGGCCGGCGGGTGTGCGAGTTCCCAGCGTGTGGAGCAGGTTAACGGGCTGTTAGCAGCGCCGCAGCCTCCGCAGCTCCCATTACATCAGACACCCGGTGTTGCAGGCGCTGCCCCTTCCCGTGGCTCAGCCCACGGTGTTGCTTCACTGGGGGATATTCAGCAGGTACGCTCCCCTGATCTGGTGCCTCCGCTGCGAGCGTGTACAGCCGTGACTGGCGAGGGAAAGGGGAGATGTCCTGTGCTGCCCAGGGCTGTGCCACGTGCGTGGTGGCAGAGGGTGTGTTGAAGGCAGTGGGCCGGAGCTCCAGCAGGTTCTAGGGAGGGCTCTGTCCCTTCACCATCAGGGCTGTGTGCTGCGCTCCCCTTCTGCGCTGTCACGCACAGCCAGCTTCGAGTGCTTTCAAAGCTCCGGTTTCATCGGCCATGTGTGATAGCAGCGGGGTGGCTGCGGGCCTCCCTGTAGGGATGAGATGCACCAGGCTGCTGCCGTGCCCCCATGCCCGGGTACAGCGGAGCTGGTGCTGGTCCGTGCTCTTCAGAGGGGCGTTCAAAGGACCCAGCTGGTTACCCCGTTAGCGCTTCCAGGCCTGCGGGCCAGGCTGTTCAGTGGGGCACACCTGCCCCTGGGGGCTGTGGTCGTGCAGGAGCAGCAGAACCTCATCGGGTGGATTCTGTGGATTAGGAAGGTGCAGCCATGAGTAACCAATTGTTTCCTACAAACGGGGCTCCCTACAGATGCCGGGTTCCTACAAACAGGGTTCCCTACAGACGCTGGGTTCCTACAAACGGAGTTCCCTACAGACAGGGTTCCTACAAATGAGGTTTCTTCCAGGTGGGCTTCCTACAAACAGGGTTCCCTACAGATGGGATTCCTACAAATGGGGTTTCCTACAGATGGGATTCCTGCAAACGGGGCTCCCTACAGGCGTGGTTCCTACAAACGGGGTTCCCTACAGACAGGGTTCCTACAAATGGGGCTCCCTACGGACAAGGTTCCTATAAACGGGGTTCCCTACAGAAGGGGTTCCCACAGATGGGGTTCCCTACAGACAGGGTTCCTACAAACGGGATTCCCACAAATGGGGTTCCTACAAATGCGGTTTCTACAAACGGGGTTCCCTGGAAATGGGGCTTCCTGCATACAGGGTTCCCTATAGACAGGGTTCCTACAAACGGGGTTTCTACAAAAGGGGTTCCCTACAGGAGGGGTTCCTACAAACGGGGTTCCCACAAACGGGGTTCCCTGTAAGCGGGGTTCCTACAGATGGGGTTCTCTACAAACGGGGTTCCCTACAGTCTGGGTTCCCACAAACGGGTTTCCCTACAGGCGGGGTTCCTACAAACGGGGTTTCCTACAGACGCCGATTTCCCGGCACCTCTTCCCGCGCTCCGCGCAGCGCCACCGGAACCTCCCGTCCGCTGGGGGGCGACCCGCAGAGCCGCGCACGCGCTCCGAGGTGACGTCCGCGGCGTACTCAGGTAGCGACTGCGCCACTTCCGGTGTCGCTGCCCGTCTGTTTCCGGCGGCGCTGAGGGGCCCGGGTGCCGCCATGGTGAGCGCAGGGCCGGGGCCATGGGTCCGGTGCCGGTGCCATGGGTCCGGTGCCGGTGCCAGGCCCGCCTCGCGCGGCCGCCCTCGCTCACAGCCCCTCTGTTCTCTCTTGCAGGCTCGGAACGCGGAGAAGGCCATGTGAGTGCTGCCGCCGCTGCCCCCCGCCGCAGCTCTGCGCGGGCGCCCCGGTGCGGGCAGGGACAGCGCCCGGGGCCCGCAGACCAGACCGTGCCCCCCCGTGTTCCCCGCGCTGGGTCCGGTGTCAGCGACCCGAGCCCGTTGTGCCGTGGCTCATGGCCGCGCTCGCTGTGCGGCTGTTTGACAGCACTGGGAGTTCAGATGCGTTTTGGCACTTGGTTGTGTTGTGCTGTGCTGATCTACGGGGGGTGGGAGTTGAGGGTGTCCAGAGAAGCTGTGGCTGCCCCATCCCTGGTGGTGTTCAAGGCCAGGTTGGACACAGGGGCTTGGAGCAAGCTGCTCTAGTGGAAGGGGTCCCTGCCCGTGGCAGGGGTTGGGGCTGGAGGAGCTTTAAGGGCCCTTCCAACCCAAAGCACTCTGTGATTCCAAGTATAAATCTTCTTGCTTGGCACTTGCTGGGGCTAAATTTACAGGTTTTAGCCTATTTATTTTTCTGTTGACTTTGTTGAGTACTTCTCCAAAAGGTTTGCTAAGCACGTGTTTAGAACTACTAAATTAGAGACTCTGTAATGAATTTGTCTCATGTTTGTTCTTTAACCTAAACCACTTTCTGAGCTTGTAATAGTAGCTCGGGGAGGCTGCAGAGGCCCTACCACAGCTGTGTGACACATCAGAATCACAATGGTCAGGGTTGCAAGTTTTGTTTGCTTTTTGATGTGTCCCCTGCTGAGGTAGGTAAACTTAATGCTTGTGCTTGTAACTTGTTGATGCCCTTCTGCTGCTCATAATCTAACATGCTGGCATATGCTAAGCAGGCAAAAATGCTTAGCTGCTTACCAAGATCTATATTTGTCTAAGAAATGAACCACTGAGGATTTCCAGTGTTGAAGAGGCCGCTGGCCAGCAGTGTGGCCAGTCAGTGAGTGTGTTCAAGCCTTTGTTTTCTACAGACTGTAATGAAGCCCATCCTAAACATCCAGAGCAAAACTTGTTCCTGTCGGAATGTGGATCTGTAGAAGTAAATCCATTTCCTTTCTTTCCTTTAGGACGGCCTTGGCAAGGTTTCGCCAGGCTCAGCTGGAGGAAGGAAAAGTTAAGGTATGATGTAAAGCCCTAAAGCTCTGGTAGTTCTGGTGGGGAGGGGAGCGTGAGCCATGTACCGAGCTGTGCGGCTGCAGTCGGGTCGGACCTCAGGCAGGAAGGGGAATCCTACAGGAACACCTGAAGCAGGGACTGTATTTCACAGTGACCCAAACAGGAAATGGTGAATAGAATTTTCTGAGCTAAATAACCAGGTTAAGAATTTCTGCGTGTGAAAGGGAAGTGCGAGTTGAACAGCGCTTGCTTTTCATTGTCTTCATGAAATATAGGTAGAATCTGCAGTGGTTTGAAGAAAACCGCAAACTGCAGTAGTGCTGCCAACACCGGCAGAGTGCTGGGCAGAAAGTGAAAATGACGTTTGAGACTCAGGTTACCTCCTTTTGCAACTCCTTGTGCAAACTGATGCGCATGCACTTAGTTTTACCAGCAGTAATCCCGGGGTTGGCTTGGATTTCATTCCAGGAGAGGCAGAGGAATCCCTCTCCTGATCTTGTTCATTGGTAACATTCTGACAACAGGAACCACAGAGCGAAGGCCCTTCAGGGTCACTGTGAACTGGGGTGTGCATGAGACATAACATTGGCTTGTGTTAACCCAGCACGTGATAGCTGTGTGTTGGAGCTGGCCTCACACGCTGTGCCATGTTCACATGGCTTTTTTGCTTGGTGTAAGGTGCCAAAAAAATGGGCTTAGCAACTTTGTCATTTAAAAACCCCACCAATGCAGTGAAAAAATAGCACCCCTAAATCCACACAGACCCTTAAGAGATGGATTCTCAACCATCTCTGGGTATTCCTTTGCCTTTTTTCACTGAATCATATGCGAGAATATTGCTGTGGGGATCAGTGTTCCCAGTTGGACAGGTTTTGGGTGACCGACAGTGGAACTCTGGAAGCTGACTGAGGTGTCCTCACACACAAGTGCGAGCAAGATGAGACAGGAAAGTGGAAAAGAACAGTTTGGGGAGACTATAGTGCAAAAGACTCCATGAGCAACAGCCAGAGAGAATGATGGAACAGAGTGTCTGGTATGTCCTGTGAGGGAAGGCTTTTTATTATCTAAGGGGTAGAGCTGTGAAAGTACAGTAGGGAAAGTGGCAAAAGAACTGCGCACAGAATCCTAGGGACAGGATGAAGTATTAGTTTGTGTGTCCTATATGGAACATTATTTGTCTTGGCAAGGATTATGTGGTGGTTTGAAAAGCAAGTGACAGATTTTGTTTTGGATAAAGTGGGTTTAAGTCATTTGTGTATTCTGTGGTAGTTCAGTGTGTCAGGGCTGTGAATGGTCATTGTTTTCCACTTGCTATGAATGGCTGGGAGGAGAAGCACCGGTAGCACAGTTTGGGATTAACAAGCAATAACGTTTGCAGGGAATGCTGTAAGTGTGTTGATGCTGGGTTAAAACTTCCTGGTGTGTGGATTTCTGTCAAACAGGAACGAAGACCTTTCCTTGCTTCGGAGTGTAATGAACTGCCTAAAGCTGAGAAGTGGAGGAGACAGGTAATGCCAAGCTGTGGGTTTTTCTAATTGTCTAACAGGTAGAACTTCAGCACTTCTCGGTTTGATAGATTTGTTCAGGTCTCTTCAGTGTGCTGACAATTAAATCACAGTCATTTAGACTGGAAGATCAGGCAGGTCACCACAGTATTTAGAGCAGGTTGTACCCCATCAAGCTGCCCAGGGCTGTGTCCAGCTGAGATTTGAGAATCATCAGGGTTTGGATCCCACAGCTTTCTGGGGCCCTGTTCCAGTGTTTGATTGCCTTCTTCATGATCTTTTTTTCCCCTCTAATTTAATCAGTTTCCTTGGTTTCAACTTATGTTTGTTGCTGCTTGTCCTGTGTTGTGCATCTCTCAGACAGCCTGGTTCAGTCCTTTCTATACCCTCTGTTAGGCTGTTGAAGACAGCAACAAGTTGCTCCCTTTTTGCTTTCTCTTAAGGCAGATCAAACGCAGTTCTCTCAGCCTTTCTCTGTACATCACAGGCTCCTGCCCTCCCATGTACAGCTGTAGAAATGTAAAAAGCTTCTGAGATACTGTATTTGTGTCTGAATGAGATCTGTGTTGGTGTTTGAAATTGATAAGCTCGGGTTCATTTCCTAGATCAGAGACACCTTACAAGTTGGATCTTTCTAGGGTTTTGTTTTGCTTTTTCTGCCTTGTTTGGGAAGTTCACTTCTGTGTTCTTGTCTACCCAGATCATTGGGGAGATTTCCAAGAAGGTGGCACAGATTCAAAATGGTAAGGCTTTTCTAAGTACATTTCATTTGTTTGAATCCCCCATCCTAATCAGTTACAGTAAAAATCCCATTTCATGGGAACTACACCATTCCCATTGTGTGAATTCTGGAATGGCTCCGGTACTTCTGGAAAGCTGCCTAATTCATTGCTTTTCCCCCTCTAACAGCTGGCTTGGGGGAATTCAGAATCCGGGACCTGAATGATGAAATAAACAAACTTCTGAGGGAGAAAGGGCACTGGGAATTCAGAATAAAGGAGCTGGGAGGTCCTGACTATGCTGTAAGTGTACACTGGTTTCTGTTTTAATGGGGGAGTTGTAAAAGTAGAGAACCTGTATAAAAACGAGCCATGGGGGTGTTTTACTTGTGGGGTAGTTTGAAGTGGTACAACAGATCTCCTTTCTCATCCTTTAATCTATCAAGATGCATGGGAAAACAGGAAATACAAGATGCAAGAGCAGTAAGACTTTAAACCATGAACTTTCTTTATTTCCCAGCGGATTGGGCCGAAAATGTTGGATCATGAAGGGAAAGAAGTTCCAGGAAACAGAGGTTACAAATACTTCGGAGCTGCAAAGGATTTACCAGGAGTTAGAGAACTTTTTGAAAAGGAACGTAAGTAAATAGCGACTGTTCCCAGATGTGAGCCTACACAGTAGTGTGTCTTGAGTAAAATGTCTGTGTAGTTGTGTGGGGAATGCTAGTAGCCGTGTTTTCTGGCCCATAAATAGACATAAGTGGATAAAACTTTATATGTAGGTTTGTCATGGAAGGAGTGGGAATTCCATGGACCTGAAGAGAGGCAGGCCTGCTGTATCAGCTCTTCCTTACTTGCCATCTGCAGAGAAAAAACTGTGGGAAGTACTCCATGAGCGGGGGGAGCTTGGGATAGGTTTTTATTTCCTTTCATATAGTCGTGTTCAGTGCTGGGACTCCATTTCAGGGGGAAACAGCAATGGAGAACTGCCACAGGATGGGAACTGCACAGAAAAATGCCAGTACCCCTGGCACTGACAGCAGTTTGGTCACACGCTTGGGTGAGGTAGCTGGGGTTGCTGTGAGGCTGATGGGGAATGCACAGCAAGCTGTCAGGATGGACCTGCACGAATGACAACTGTTCTTCCAGCCGTCCCTCCGCCTCGGAAGACTCGAGCTGAGCTTATGAAATCCATTGATGCAGAATACTATGGCTACAGGGATGAAGAGGATGGTATTCTGGAGCCGCTGGAACAAGAACATGAAAAGAAAGGTATGTGAGATACAAAATCAGCCCAAGAAGGGGTCATGATGGGCTCGAAAGTGAAGATACCTTTTCTTTCCCTGCTGGTATTGTCCTGTGCTTAGCTGTCACGCAGGTATCCAGATCATTGCTGTGTAAGGCATTTCAGGGTTGAGGCAGTGTGCTGCATAGTTGGCTTCAGAGTCATCATTGCTACTGTTAATGATTTAATACTATCAGCAAGTGATCTGCTATGAAGCAAAATCTTTTTTCCCCACATTTTTCATGCTTAAGAATGTAAAAGGGTAGGTTGCAGCAGGGAGGTCTGTGGAACGCAAGGGTTATCTCCTCCCTCCTTTGTGAGGACTGGCCATACCATCTGTTTCCTGTCTCATCTCATTATTTATCCATGAGCACAGTTGTCTATCCCTCTTGGAGATTAGAGGGGGCCTTCTGGAAACCCTGAAGGCCCAGTGGCCTGTGTTAATTTAGCCATATGAATGCATTTGTGGATGTTTTTTTCCTTTGAAACCCATACTTCCTCAACAGTTAGTGTTTATCCATGTCTCTGCTCACTCAGTTCTCTGGCTTTGTTTCTACTGACTTGCCCAGTAATGACAACAGGATTATGAGTCTCATACCTGAAACCCTCTTTAAAATTCAGCACTGTGTGACATCTGCCTGCTGTTTGTGTAGCTTTAAGCAAGAGGCTGTGCACCACCTTTATGAGCATCGCCTGTTCCTGGCAATTGGTTGCTGTTTGCATTGTGTATTTGTTTTGTGATCACTTCTTCTGAAGCAGATCGTCAGTGCTCCGTTGGATGTGTGCTGGTGTAGGAGCCACTGGTGGGGTCCTCACAGAACATGGCAGATAAAACAATCAGGTTTTGTTTAAATGGTGCTTCTTTTTGTAGACATTGAAACCTCACTGCAGGAAGTCCTTGTTTGAATGATTGCAAGTTGTTGCGGTTGTAACTGTTACCAATACTTAGTACTGTCATCCACTTCTTACATTTATGCTTTTCCATGTGTGAGATCTTCATAGCATTGTGTGTTAGAGATCCTGCCTTGTCAGTTAGGTTATAAGACAGGGACCTGAAGCATAGCCTGGGGCCTTCAACCAAGTGAGTGGCAGGCAGCTGGCTGGCCCACAGGTGATGGCTAAGAGAGGAAGTTGTGTGGTGCAGCACACCCGGAGCCACCCTCACTCAGTGTTCTTGCACATCTTGCTGACTGCAGACAGAAGTGACTCCTCTGGATTCATGTAGTTACTTAAGAAAATGAACATCTTTGGTGATGGTGCCACTTGAGATAACCAGGCTAGAGATGCGACAGAGCCAGTGGTGCACTAGTAACGTACAAGTCGGATACTATTAACGCACGATAGCTGGGATGCTCTTAGGGCCGCTTGTTGTCTGTTTTCTTTGTGTTTTTTTGTAATCAGAAGAGTTAAATTTTTGTGAAACAAAGTATTGAGGTCCCTTTTCTGTTACAAACCCACCCAAAACCCAGCATTTGCCACTGGTCAGTGCGATCTTGCTTTCTCAGGAAGAGCATTTTAGTGTTTAATCTTTGAGAGCTAGGGGAATGCCTGCTGAGTGTTAACTGTTGCAGGCATTTCATACTGCCTACTTGCATTAATCTTGCACCTCCCAAGGGTATTTATGCACTGGTGTGGTCACTCATTAAGCTGCTTAAAACTTCAGTGCTTCTACTAGGACTCTGCTGTGTAGTAGAGATATAGCAGCTTAATAGCTCTGAGCCAGCAGCGAGTTACAGAAGTGGGATTGTGCTGCAGAAAAGGAGAAATACACTATGAGATGAAAAGAAAGAGACTTCTGTGGCTGGTCACTGTAAGGAGTATAATCATGTTTAATTACACAGGGATCAGCTTTCCTACAGCTGTTGACATGTGAAGTGCCACTTAGCCTCAGTTCAGAAAATAGGTTGATATTTATCCATGACATTTAGAGGTCTAAAATGCACCCAAATTAAGGCATTAGCAATTACCGCACTTCCACAATGCCAGTATTGGGTTTTGCTCAGACTGTGTTGATGTATTTTATTAGATACTGCATCGAGGTTCTATAGTAAGTGTGCGTTGCCAATGTAGAGGACTTGAGCAAGAAGTCTGATGTCAAAGCTTTGGCATTAGGACCATGCTTCTCTAACTTGCTCTCAGATACACTTGCTATTTTCCTTTGCTAACCAGTTATAGCAGAAGCAGTGGAAAAATGGAAAATGGAAAGAGAAGCACGACTTGCAAAAGGTGAGGAAGAGGAGGAAGAAGATATCTATGCTGTCAATGACGATGAGGTATGTGATGGCTAAGGCAATGTGACGTTTCAACTCTTCTACACTGTGTTCTTGAACATAGAGCTGTTTTGCTGAGAGCCCTTCTGTTGCTGTGTTCTGCCCTTCTCTCTGCCTGAGTTAGCCTACGGTTGTCTCTGTTTAGTGAAAATCAGTAGTAGATGAGCACACTTGGTCCATGTTTAGAGAGCTGGCAGCTAGGGAAGACTTTTTACTCGAGTGAGAAACATCTGACAGTTGAGAGCTTGTGAGATTTAACTGTCACTGTCAGGAATGTGGTATTTGTAAGGCAGTGTTTAGTTAACACTGATCAGTCTTACTTCTGAGTACCATCGTTGTGGTTTAAGCTACTGCTGAACCCAGGACAGCCATCCACATCAGTAACAGCATGAGTAGTTTTGTGTGCAGTAGAATTTCACCCTGTCGATGTGTGGCAAACCCAGGGCTTGTCAGGGTCTTGTTTCTAGCTGAATCATGATACAGTAAGGCTTTGCTGGTGCTGCAGTCACTGCTGTGACATAGCTCTTGTTTCTCTATTTTCCCTGCTCCCAGCACCTGCAGGAGAAGTAAGGGATGTTGATGCTGCCCGCCAAGATCCACAAAAGGGGTACTGGAAACTAGTTCTTATTTTACAGTCCATACCTAAGTGGGTTTATCACAAGAACAAAAAGGAGATAGTGCATCGGGTGAGACTGGTGGTTCCTTCAGTATCCTTCAGTTTTATTTGTAGTATCTCATGATTCATAAGTCCAGCACTCAGGTGTGAGAGCAGAGCAGTACAGAGCTATACAGTGAAGCGGTACATAGCTTTATTTAAAGCATTTGCTTTCTTCTTAGTTAGCTGGCTGCTCTTTTGTTGATAGCTTTGCTATGACAGCCAGGAAGGGATGGAAGAGAAGGGAATATAGCTGTACATTCCTGGCCATGCCACAGCGGAGCAAAATCCATATATGAAGAATGAAAGCAATACCTTGAAAATGTTAAGGAGCAGGATCTGACCATGCTGCTGGTCATGTTCCTTTGTTGTTCGGTCCTGTTCACCTGCTTGTTGTGTTTGTGGTGTTGATTGTGCTCTATCTGGTTCCTTCTGGCAAAGCAAGTGAAAAAGGCTTTTTTTGATGACCCCTTTAGAAAGTAAACTTGACGTGGCTTAATTTCTTTCATTGGATTTTGTCAGTCTGATGAGGAAGGTGGCAAGGAGAAAGGTGAAGAAGGCCAACAGAAATTCATCGCACACGTTCCAGTGCCATCTCAACAGGAGGTAAGATGTTACAAAACTAACTTGCAGAGATGCACTCTGACTCCTGCAAGACAGAGATCTTGACTTACAGCAGATCACCAGTAAAAGCGTCCTTGACTTGTTACTACTCTTTAACCCTCTTGCAAATGCTGTGGAACTAGCCAGAATTACGGTACCATTGCTGTTACCTTTCCACCTGAGCACTTCCAAAACCTTCATAAGTATTACATAGATTGGGAAGTGATGTAGTGGTATGATCAAGAAAACCCTGACTGCCCACTCTGTCATTACTGTCCTTTTCCACTGCTGGTCTGACTTTTCCCATTAACTTCATGGGATGATGTCTGAATTGCAGGGCTTGCTCTCATGAGTTTTCTGAAGTTTCTGTATTCTCCTTTGAAGTCATGATCCTGCACATTCAACAAAATACACACTCAATGGTTTGTTAGAACTGCAGGAGGGATGGAATAATTAAAACCATTGCTCTCTGGCTGATGGTATTCTCTGAATGAAGAGAGCATAATTGACTGTCAGAACTGACAGATTCATAACCACTGCTTTACACAGCAGTCTTTCTAATCAGGCAGTACTCAGTGTAACCTTTTTAGTGGCAAATCCTTCCATACCTTATGCCTATGGGATGCCTTCTCGATTCTCAGTTACAGAAAAGCTAAGGTTCACAGCACTTGATTTTAAGAGATGCTGTGTGCAGCACTGGTACAGGTTGCCCAGAGAAGCTGTGGGTGCCCCATTCCTGGCAGTGTTCAAGGCCAGGTTGGACACAGGGGCTTGGAGCAAGCTGCTCTACTGGAAGGGGTCCCTGCCCTCTTTAAAGTACATGCTTGTTAATGAATTGTGTATTGCTGGCACTTCCAGACAAACTTTAGGTCAGAGGTCTGTAGCTGTTGCTGCTGTGAAAGGCACTGAACTGTTATTTCAGGGGTGCAGATTAGTGTGGCGTGACTCCATGTGTTCTGCCCTCGTTAAAGCTGTGCCTGAGACAGTTCTTTGAAACTAAACTCAAGTGACTGTGCTGAGTAAAATGAAATGGAGCTAACTTCCTAACTAAAAAGGATAGAAGCGCAGAGCTGAGATGGAGGTGTCTTTCAACTTCCATGAGCTTTAGCTGAGTAGTGGAAAAGATACTCCTGACTCATCTTAATTCAACTGCTTTTACACTAGAATTACATCAGAATTAAAGCTTTCATGGTCTGTTTCCTGTGGTTTTCTTCCTCCTCTCTTAATAGCTAAGCGTGCTGGGCTTTGGCACCTCAGTTAAGCAGAATGTCTTCCTGTTCTTATATTTGCAGATTGAGGAAGCTCTTGTACGGAGAAAGAAGATGGAGCTTCTTCAGAAGTATGCCAGTGAAACCCTCATGGCTCAGAGTCAGGAGGCAAAGACACTTTTAGGATTGTAACATTGCACCAGTGTGTCCTGGGTTTTGTACAAGCCAGCTAAAAGCAGGAGGTTCACGTGTTCTGGTCGCAGTCACTATCATCTCCCAAAGTCCCTTTGGATGTTAAGAGTAAAATGATGAAGTTCCAGGGTGTTCTGCAGAAGGAGAACGATCGTTTTGGTTTGTCCACTAGGATGCGTTGCACTTCAGTGCTGAAAAAGATCAAACCTAGGTTCACTTGTCTCTGCATCATCAGCAGCTGTCGTCAGCCCTTTCACTGGTGCTTCTTACAGACAGGAGCACAACCGGAGTGACTCCTTAAATCCCAATGAAAGCTGAGTGCCATTACTGCCTTCCTGTACGTTGTATCCTGACCATTAAGTGTGCATGTCTTTCTCCTGTTGGTTTTTGCTGAGGTGAGACCAGAAGTAACTTCCTCTCTTATGCCCAGTTGATTTACCAGCATAGCCTGTTCTGATGGCATCTCTTAGGAGTGACTGCGAGGTGGGTTTGGTTCTTTGTGTACCACATGCAGGTTGTCTAAAAGCTGTTCCCTTTGCTGTGGTTTGTAACTGTGCCTGGGTGGATGCTCAGTGATGGATATTTCAGCAGCTGTTGTAAATATGTCCAACTTTGCAGTACCTGGTTCAAACATTTTTAGTAAAACTGATTTACAACCCAATGTCTTGTTTCATTCCAGCTCAAAGGATCGTGGTGTTTCCCTGATTGCAGCCAAAGAATGGGATCAGAACTGCCCATCTGTGTGGGGAGCTGGAGTTCTGCATCCCCTGCTGCTCTTGGCTCAGGTATCCTGTGGCAAGGGGCAGATTACAGCAGAGCTGTGCAGTCTCATGGGTGACTAACATTGTTGTACAGACTATACAGAATGAGTGAGATCCTGAATTGGGCATCTGCAGCCATGGAGTAGAAGTGCTGCCGAAGGAATATAGTATTTAACAACCACCTAGCTATGTCTGGGACTACTTCTAGGGAGTTTCTAGGTGCTCTTAAGTATTCAGCACTACCTATTGTAAATAATCCACTCCAAAGCAATCAAAGCTCTAACTTAGAAAAACTTTTTGATGTAAATGATCAAATAATAGAAGCCTTGAAAGAGTGGGAAGCATAGCTGCCAAATGGGAATCCTAACAAAGATCAGGTAAACAGCAAGCAGACAAATAACCTCACACACACATTCTTCTCTCCTCCTGTTAGCAGTGTAGCTTTCTCTGCTTTGTAATAAGGCAGCAAATGGGTATGTGTATGATTTGTAGCGGTTTGTGTGCTCTGAGCTGTGAGCATCTTTCCAAAGTTATTCTCAGTTTTTGCTCTGGCCCTTGAGTGTTTTCTGCTCTTGGGTATAGAGGAGGTGATGCGCTTTTATCCACACGCTATCTGCCTTGCTGTAAAAGGCACTGCTGTTTCCCAGAGTTCCTTCCCTGAAACCCCTGCCTGCCAGGAGTGGAAAAAACAGGGTCCTTCCGTGTGGGATGTGCCAACAGGTTTATGGTCTGGCAGTGCCAGATCGGATCTATCAGTTTACTCTTTTTTTTTTTATGCTTTCTGTCATTATCACTGTGTCCCTGACCTATCTTCAGCTTTGCCTATGGAAAAGGTTAGTAGATGAAGGATAAAGGCGCTGTCGCCTGGTACTAAGGCACTGACGTCGTTCCTGGAGCTGAATGCATTGGCAGGCAGGTTGTAAGGCTTGATCACACTGCAGGAGTGTTGGTCACAACACACGTGATGATACCCATAGTGTGACCAGGGCAGGGGAGACATGACACCAACAGCCAACCTGGGCAGCCAGAGGGGTTTGCCAGAAAGGCACTCGGAGCTGGAGCTGGGTTGTGAACAGCCCCCTGCCAGCCATGCTCCTGCTGCACTGCACTTGTTCAGTACTGCACTTGTTCAGTACTGCACTTGTTCAGTACTGCACTTGTTCAGTACTGCACTTGTTCAGTACTGCACTTGTTTAGTACAACAGCTTTTCTTCCAGGGGAAGAGGAATGCCAGTCCTGCTGTACATCTGCTAAACTCTGTGCTGGAGATAACCAAACCAGATCTGGGGGGGAACCTGACTATTTTTTATGGCCTGGCACAGTCTGGGAGTTTAATAATACCACTGGTTGATCCCTTCTGTCACAGTAGGAATATGTAACATAGAAGACAGAAAACAGAATGGTGAAGATAGGTCAGGGACACAGTGATAATGACAGAAAGCATAAAAAAAAAAGAGTAAACTGATAGAGGGAAATCCAAGACAGGATAGGAGCTGCATTTGTGTTCAAAGAAGCAGCTCCAGCCCTCGGCAAGACCAGTATAATGATGTAAAAAGAGGGGTTTAGGATGATGCTGGTCCCTGCTCAGCAGCACAGAAATGGGATCAATGCACAGAAACAGTGTGGAGCTGCAGTGCAGGCTGTGCTGGGCCTGGGGACTGGCTCTAGCTCCAAGTGCTGGCTTTTTAAGCTGGATGCTTTTTTTTGGCTGCATCTGAGCCAGCAAATTGCAGAGAAATTGTTGGCAGCAGTGGCCCGAGGCAAAATGCCTCTGCTCTGCTGGCTGTACAGGCTGTTAGATCGCTGCTGGGGTTGGGGCAGAGGAGCTTCTGGAGGCAGAACTGCGAGAGTGAGCTTGTAGCTTGTCCTGAAGCATGGAACAGTGCATAGGCTCTGTGTTAACGCTCCCTTGAGTGTGCAGCTGCACTTAGATCTATGTGTTGTGTCAGGCTTATAGATTGTGCTATCTCTGGTGCCTCAGCTCTGAGCACGTCAAGGTTATTAAATAAATGTCATTTTCTATGTGGAAGCGTGTAGCTCTGTGCTGTGTGCGACCCTGGCTTGAGCTGTGAGGGGATAACCTCTGGATTAGGCTGTTCACTGTTACCAGTCTTGGCTGCTTTTGTGTGCTAGAAACACATTCAATTCCGTTTCATTTAGTGCCAACCACCGCGGTGGAGCCCACCAAAAGACAGCCTCCTTGCTCCTTGTTTTGGTGAGTGCAGCGCCATCAGGGGATCGCCTTCTCCTGCTGTCCAGGAGGGTGGTGGGGAATATGTGTTGGCACTACGAGGAGGTAAGTGGATTTTCCCGATCAGCGTTAACAGCGTTATCAGAGTGAGATCCCCGGTGACAGCGCTGCAGACCGTCCCCTTGCTGTGTTTATTCCGTGTTTTGCCCACCCTCAGCCCGGTGGCAATCAGTGCCTTTGCAGCGCACGTTCCAGCTCACGCCGTGTCCCTGCGTGACCGTGATGCGATTCCTCCCCGGCAGCCTCGACTCCTGACCGACAGCAGGGCGGTGCGTTTGTTACGGAGGCAAAGCCGAGCTCCTTGGTGGTGGAGGCTCCCTCCCGGGGCCGTTCCGGATGAGGCCTGTGGCCTATGTCCCGAGGGGGCGTGGTCTATGTCCCGAGGGGGCGTGGCCTCTGCCCAGAGGGGGCGTGGTCTATGTCCCGAGGGGGCGTGGCCTCTGCCCAGAGGGGGCGTGGTCTATGTCCCGAGGGGGCGTGGCCCTGCGCTTAAAGCCCCGGGTTCGAGCCCAGGCGGGCGCTGTGCCGGCCGCTCCCTGTCACCGCCATGCGCCGGGCGCTGCCGCCGCTTCGCGCTCTCCTCAGGCCCGGCCCCGCGGGGCTGCCGGCGCTCAGCGGGCTCTGCGGCGCTCCGGGCGGGCTCCCGGCGGCCGGGGAGAGCAGCGGCAGCAAGGCAAGGCAAGCGGGGGGTCCGCGGGGCCGGGCACCTCGGGGCGGTGCGGGGGAGAAACCGAAACGGCGTCTGGCGGCCGCGGTCAGGTCCCTCCCGGGCACGGGGGCAGCCTCTCCCTGGGGCTCTTCACTGGGTGTCTGCGAGCCCCTGCCCCAGGGCTGGGCGCTGCCAGCTCCCGGGCGGCAGGAGAGCGGCCTTCTATGGCCTGAAGGGGAAAATGAAGTGTTAACGTCGCTGTTTCCTGCGGGACACGCTGAAACCCTCCCGTAGTGTTTTTAACGCGTATGCTCAGCACCGGGATGCTCTTTCGCTCGTGCTGTTCACCGCAGGACTCACATCCGTGGTCTCCACGCTTTACGGGAGGCAAAGCTACCGGGAAGAGCTGCCTTTACCACAGAGCTGTTGCGGTGTAGCGCCGGGAGCCTCCCGCGGCTGTTCAGACCCCGAGGAGGCCGCTCTGTGTCCATCGTGCCCAGGGTGGGTGGGTTCCTTCCACTGTGGCATCCCCGAGACTGCTGCCGGCAGCTGGGAGGCACCGGCTCAGGGCTGGGGTTCTGATGAGTACAGAGGGAGAGGGGAGAGGGCTGCAGGGGGAGTTCTGGTATCTAGACCTGGACAAAGCCCGAGTGCCTCAGGTCAGCAATGACAATGCAGTACACGGCAAGGGTTGCCTTGACTGAATTGGGCTGCGCAGGGGAATGTGCTCGCTCCTGGGTTTTCAGCAGCCACTTGCATGCCCGCGGCAGCTCCGGGAGCCGGCCTGCCCGGGGGCTCTGCCGGCAGCTCCATCCCCTTCAGCGCAGCGGCGCCCATCTCCGTGCCGGGCCCAGCTGCAGGAGGAATGCAGCAGGTGAATAATTGATGAGGAGCAGGGTGCTGCTTCAATAGGCAGTGTCCTTGTCCCCGCATAGCAGGAGCAGCGGGCTGGGTCGCTGTCAGCCTGTGCCCAAACAGCTGAACCCACCGCCATCGGCTGGGGTCGTTTGGTGCCTGTTCTCCTCATCACGCTGGATCTGTCGCCCCTGATTCATCAAACGATGAACGAGGGGGTTAGGAATCCATTTTAACCTTGGGAGGGACCTGAAGTTTAGATTACAAATCCTTTTGGGTCCATCCTTTTCCAGCCCGATCGAGTAACGGTTTCATTGCTTGACAGTCCTCTCTCTGTTGCCACTCCTTGGGCTTATTACCCGGCTCTTCTCTTACCCCCAGTTAGCCTTGCTCTCCTTTCCTGGTCTCACAAAGCTCTTCACTTCTTCAAAGTCAGGCAACAAGATATAAACTCTAGGGACTCAGACAGCATCTGTGTTGAAGGAGGAGCTGACTTTCCAACAGGCGTTAGTCTGCCACATGTAAAACTCGGCATCAGCTCCCTGCTGCTCCACTTTTCCTGTGTTAGTAGTTTATTTGGTTAGTGTTCTGGGCATTGACATTGCCTGTGAAATAGAGAGGGGTTAAATCAATGAGAAGTGTGACTCGCTGGCACAGCAGTGTGTATTTTGTACCTTTTTATCAGTTTACCTCAGTTTGTCCCTGTCTCCTGAAGCATTCAAGGACTACTCATAAGGCATAAGGGAAGGGGAGTTGTAGGGTTCCTTTTTTCACAGTACGTATTTTAGCACATGAATATGTCTGCAAGGCACATTGAAATGTGCAGAGTTGAGGATCCATCCCTTCTCTGGGGAGTGCCTGTTTCACTGGGCTGAGCTATTGTGAGCTTTATCAAACAGACGGAAATATGGGAATAACTAATGTACTCTTCTCTTTCCAATTCTTTCTTACAGCTCAGCGTGCTGCCATCCTTTGGGTTTCTCTTTGACATTGATGGTGTACTGGTGCGAGGGAAGACTCCAATTCCTGCTGCAAAAACAGCCTTCCAGAAGCTAGTGAACTCTCAGGGACAGTTCGTGGTGCCTGTGGTGTTTGTCACCAATGCAGGGAATTGCCTTCGCCAGGAAAAAGCTGATCAGTTGTCACAGCTACTGGGAGTTCCAGTGAGTGCCATCAATCCTATTCATTTCCTTAGTTACTTGTGGTGAATGTGTCAAATGTATTATGTTCCATTAAGTGCTGCTCAGTTAAGCAGTTTTGGTTTTCCCTTAAGCTCCCTGATATGCATTGCTGGAGGTGTTATAAAAGTAAAACATGCTGTCCAAAGCCAGTGGTGAAGGCACTGCTTTTTCCAGTGGTAATGGTATTTCTTTGCAATGTGATTATTGTGGGAATAAATCTTGCCTTCTCCTCCTGAAAAAAGCCTGCGTGGGCCAATCCCATGAACCACTGCTCTGGCCGGTGAGTGTCTTCTGTGGTGATGTGTGAGGCAGGAGCTTCCTGCCTGGCTTTGTTACAGAATCACAGGATGAACCTTAAACATCATTCCAACCCCCAAGTTTGTGAACAGTAAAACTTCATTCCCCCTGATCTGTGAGCACTGCAGGCAATAGGACTTCTCCGTCCATGGAGACTGCTTGAGCATTGCTAAGAGAAAGCCATGAAGTGAGTCCTGCAGTGCCTTTGGTTTTGGGAAAGGCCAGCAGACATGGGCATGTCTGTACCAGTCAAACTCTGGGTCATGGGTAAAACAACATCTCGATGATTTGGGGGGGGTTAGATCTGTAAAAGTGATAAGCAGTGATTCATAACAGTGTCCTTCTAGGGTAATACTTACACTGATTTTATACCTATTGAAGGAATGGGGATATGGAAAGTAAGACAAGAAGGTCTGATACAATGAAATCAGTGCTGCAGCCTAGCAAAGGGACCACGATTGGAACTAGGCCAGTTCTGATCCTTCCTCCCTGTTTGTTTTCTAAGTGCATTTGGCCCCCCTTTAAAACTAAGAGAGAAAACCTTGTGTTCTTGTTGAATGGAGTGATTCTGGCACCTGAAAAGGGGCTATATGACAATTTGTTAGTGATGATTTTTTTCCTGGTGTATTATAAACACATTGTGCAATTTAGGAGATATGGTGTGGTTGGGCTTTACGTAGGTCTGCTTGATGTTTTGTAACTCATAGGCCTTGTGACAGCTGTTGATTACATCCACGCATAAACAGCTGATCTGGAAAACAACAAACTCCTCTTGTTTTGAAATCCCACACAGATTTCCCAGGACCAGGTGGTGATGTCACACAGTCCTCTGCGGATGTTCAAGCGGTACCATGACAAATGTGTTCTTGTATCAGGACAAGGACCTCTTCTTGATATTGCTCAAGAGTATCTTTATAAACCAAACCACAAAACCAACCCAACAACTTTCTGTTTAAGTATTCTCCTTAATCAAGATCAGGGGATCCTGTGGATTAAGTGACGACTAAATATGTCAGCATTACAAATGCAGTCATCAGCAGTGGTAGTTCGTACTGTGGTGTCAACTTGATGTTTTGAAAGTGGTTGTGTGTTGATGTTTGCTGCTTTTAATGAGGAAAGAGAAATAATTTGTTTGGACTTGTGTAAATGACACTTCAGCTCAAGGGTCTGTGTTCTGCAGTGGGTGAGAGTGTGGCATTCTTGTAACATCATCACATCTGACTTGTAGTTCAGTGGCTCAGCATCTGCCGGTGGGCATGCAACCAGGCCAGGTCACAGTGGGTTTGTGACCAGCATCTAGAGCAGAACTACACTGGAAAGTATTTTGCCACGTCTACACTAACAGCCAAAAAGAACTTGAATTATGTTGATATAATGGTGGTATCAAAGCTTCAAACTGTAATTTAACAACCTTAACTATTGTACAGTTTTCACTCATGCTTCCAGTAGCTTCCTCCTTTATTGGGACTTTAATTAAAGTTACTGCAGTCATAAACTGTAAAAAAACATAAGTGCAACTTATAACTGTTATTTCAGATACAAAGATGAGAAAAAGTTCCTGAAGGAACATTCCAATTTAATCAAAATTAGTTCAGCACAGCTAAGAGAAAAGTCTCTTACAAACTGAACACAAAAGCTGTATTTCTGTTGGATAGCATTTTCATGCGAGATAATCGGGTCTGAAAATAACTTCACAAATGGCCCATGGTGTTAATTCAGGGGCTTGCTTTGTGTAACTGATACACTTCAATTGCTCTTCCTTTCATTTGCATTGTAAGATGATGTCGTTGCACTGAGACTAAATTCACAACTGCTGTTTACATAAACGAGTAGGTATAGTTTGATTTCCTCTTGTTAACTAAGTTTAAATTAATGGGATGTAGCAGTATTTAAGAATACTACTACACAAATCAGGAGGTTGTTGTTCCCCTTCTGCTCCTTTCCTTTCCCGACGCGTTTCCGTATTTATCTTCACTCCCTGTAGAGCACAGTTAAACCCAGTTGTTCAGGTCACCATTTAGCAAGAGGCTGAGCTTTATGGTGTTTGCTTACCTAGGGACATGCTTTCAGCTCTAATGGCCTGAGGAAAGCACAGGTTGTGGGGACAGTAACTGTAACTCAAGTAGCTCATATTTCTTTCCTGTAACAATTGCACAAGATGCTGTCTTGCTGCCACATAAACTTCTGCTTATGTGAAGATGATCTTGGAGTACTGCAGGTGGAGAGTGGCTTCTCGCTTTTAATCTCCTATTCTGAGAAAGATTTATGTATAATTTCTGTCATAGGATTCCAGGCACACAGGTCTCCCATTTATCAATAATGGGATGATCATCATCTTTTTATCTTAGTGAAGGAAAAGTCAGTCTGTCTGTTGCTTTCATTCCTAAATAATTTTCTTTACCAGGTAAGCTGCATATGTTAAAATTGTTAAAATGGAATTGCTAACTTTTAAACTCTTTTAATACAAGCAGTTCTGTATCCTTAACTGGCATTTTCCAGCCTTGGTTTCTGTCAACCTATTACCATTGAAACACTGCGGGAGAAACACCCTTTGCTAGATGTAGTTGACCATGACAGAAGACCTAATGTTCTGGTGAGTGTGTATCTTTGTTTTCAAGTTCTTCGTTTGCTCATTAGATCACATTCTATAGCAGGGGTCAATATTTAAACTACGGAGCTAATGCTGTTCTTACGTTGTATCCTGACGTTGCTTTTCTCCTCCTTTATTTGTTTTATTGCATCATTTGCAGGAACAATTCTATAGGCTTGTTTTCTTGGTAGTCCTTTAACATAACCTTTGATTTTGTAACTTACTGTTGTGGAGAAACTTACCATTTATACAGATACCTCATTCAGATTCTGTCATGGAAAGCTGATCAGCTTCCTCAGGTGTGTGTAAGATCAAATAAGCTTTTTCCTTCCGTACAGGATTGTCTTGGTAGTGTTTCTAGGCTGTGAGGTTGCTTTGATTGTAAGCCAGTGCTTTGCAGAAAACTAATTTTTCTGCAATGTATTCCCTTTCTTGTTTGTACCATTATTCAAACGTATTTAAATAGTAACAGTACATACAGTGTGGCTTCAACTGAACTGCGCTGGCTTCAAGACGTGAATGCACCCTCAGTAAATACGCATGTGGTACTGCACATGTTCAGGCTTGGTTTGCAGAGTGGGGTTCTCCCGCGTGAAGTCAGGAGGTCCTTTGTGGTTCACAGAATCCGTAACTCAGTTTTATCACCTCCTGCCTTGCTTCTCAGCCATGTGGGTGTCAAAGCTCAAGAAACTGTTACCTGTTTGTCACTGTGGAGAGCTGCTCATGAAGTGCAAACTCTTCTTTGTTTAGCACATGTGTTATGTGTTACAGATCATGTTTTTCTTCCTTAGCAGTGTTAAAGAAATAAATTTCAAAAGCTAATTTTCAAATGCCTCGTTAACACTGGAGGCCTCTTCCTCCTGTGGCAAAGCAAACATCCATACTTTGATACGGAAGTAAATTAAACAACTTTGATACGGAAGTACATTAAGCAACTGTAGCTTGCCAGAGGCAGTTAAATGGATGCAGGAAGCTAGACATGAACTTGTCTGCTGTCCCCTTGCCACGAGTTTTCACTTCAGAGTTGAGATACAAGTTTCTAGGTATATACTAAAATAGAGGGTGCATTTCCTGGGAGTGTTGCAGAAGGCAGCTGTGGGGGCTATACTTGAATTTATTCTGTTAAAAATAATAGGAGTTGTTTAATCTTGTAGAAAACTTTCACTTTTTTCTTATTGCAGTCCCCCTCTGCTGTGGAACTTCCCAAGATTGAGGGTCAGTTGTCTTTATTTAACTTGCAACTATCCATTAATAGATGAAATATCTTTGTCATACTTTATAATTGGGGTTTATTTTTAGATTGCTGGGAACTTCAGAAAGTTGGCTGAGACAATTCTGAAGTGTCCTCGGTAATGGCATCTCTCCTTGATTGCACTGCATCACGTGTGACAGCTGTGTTTTTAATGCGTGCAGGTTTGAGCCATGTGGTTTTGATGTTTCAGAGGTCTGCTGTCCTCTTCATCTTCCTTTAACTGCCTGCTGTTGTCTTCCTGTCATGAATGAGGAATGAATTTCTCTGTTCAGAAATAATGGGTCTTGTTCTTACAAGCGGTTGGGATGGTCACTTCAGAGCTGTAGTATGAGATGCACCTTGTCTAAGCACACTGCATTCACTCTCCTCTGAAGTACAGGAAAGTAGAAACTGGACTTCAGGATTTAATAAAATCTGCATCAGATGATGCTGGGGACCAGAAAAAAGGTCTGAAAACAGCAATCAAATTTTGGTTTAAGTTGATCAAAATAATATCTCTGATCTGTGTAAACACTGGGTGTAACCACAGAATTCACAAGGGTGTGGAAGACTGAGAAATGCCGTTTAGAAGTTAATATTTCGTGGTGCTGTGGAGAAATTTAGCCAATTAAAAAAAGAAATCCTTAAACTGGTAGATTTTGCAGAGGAGGGCTGTTACTTCTGAGATTCGCTGTGCAAGAATGGGTATGTAATACAGTAAAACCTGAAGTTAAAGTTAAATGTGACTATTTCAGTTCATGGTTAAATCGAATTACTTGTTCAGTCTCTTTAGACCAAGTTTTAGTGTCAGAGATTTGGTGCCCCGTTAGCTAATTCCATAACTCTGCTCTGTAATTCTTGTTCTCATAGCTGTTGTTTTGTTTGGGGAACCAGTCAGATGGGAGACCAACCTTCAGCTGATAATAGACGTTTTGCTGACAAGTGGCTACCCTGGAAATCCCTATCACTGTGAAAATTACCCTCACATTCCTGTGCTTGCCTGTAACATGGATCTGATGTGGGTAGCTGAAGCACAGTCTCCAAGGTAAGCGCACGTTGTAACATGTATGTATATCGTGATATATTTGGTGTTACCTCATATCTTCAGTGAAAATCGGGTAATTCTTTTATACCAAATGCTTGCTACAGCTTCAGAGTTGGTCTCAGCATTGAAGACAGCATCTGTAAAGCCATGCACTTTCAGCAAGTGCTGCCTTATTGCTGTCTACATCATTGCACTCAGGAAATCAGTTATTCATGGTAAAAGCTGCTTCCGTGCACTAAGCCCCTTTGTTTCCCCGCTCCCAGAAGATAAGTTTTTGCCTGAGGGCCTCAGTGTCTCAGTTCAAAGGAAAAACTAAAACAAATATCAAGGCCATTGTCTCATTTCATTAGTTCCTTCTTTGGTATTTCTCCTTTCCACCCCACTTTTTCTAATAGGGTGAAGAATTGAACCTGCTAGTTGAAAGCAGTGAGTGTTTTTGAGCTGAGGACAATATAGTGAGCTCTCTAAGGAGCACAGGATGAAACAAGTAGAACACACAGAACTAGGTGGCATGATCTCTGATGGTGGTTTTGTTTGATTTTGTTTTCAGTAGTGTGTTCTTTCAAGGAACAGTAGTTCCTTCAGTAGTTCTGTTCTCCCCCAGTCAAAATTTGAATGTACACTGAAATAGTCATTGTTGTTAGTGTGACTTGATTGCTGCCTTGATCTTGGGTTGAGGATCTTGTCAGCTGTCCTTACTGGATGCAAAGATCATCTCCAGTTAGCATGCTGCTAAAAGACAGATGTGTGATGTTTTCAGGCTAGAGTAAGGCAACCATTATATTTACAGTGAACCAGATTCATGGTTTTGGTTATGCCCTTTGGGAAAGATCCAGTGTAAAGCTGGGTTTGTTTTTTTCCCTTTCAGTTTGACAGTATGACAAGGTTGCATGTGTCAGAGCTGCTACCTTCACTACTGGAATATAATGCCATGACGAAGTTGGTAGAAGCTGTTGCTAATAATTACTGGAAATAATTTTATGATCATTTATTGGTATTTCATAGCAGAAAGCAACAAACAGGGTGGAGAGGGGGAATGAAGGGTTAATACAGAAAAGCAAATTAGGTACCACCTATGAAAGTACTACAGTTGCTTCCTCCTTTGTAGCTTTTTTCCTTAAAGGACTATTTCAATTTCTAGGCCACTAGAGACTTAATTTCTAACATCTCTACTTGCTTCTGATGCTTATTATGTTGGTGGGTTTGTGTATTTTTTACGCTGACAGATATACCAATCTATGTGCATTAGAAGTTACCTGGCAGCTCTTCTGAAGCAGTATGTGTCATTTATCGTGTATAGAATTGTTGTATAGCAACTTTCTGTTCTTCTTAGGGTGCTTTTGGTAATATGGTATTCTCAAGTGATGCGTATTAGTTCATCCCTAATTCCACACCCTGAACTAGTGTTTCACTAGTAGTGAAGTAAAACTGGGGTTTTTTTTACCATCAGATTACATCTTCTAACTTACTGCTTTACTGGCTTGGATGATGACCCATCATCACTGTCTGCACCTTGATGAGAATAACAGTTATCCAAAGCATGCTGTAAAATCATTGTTTGTTCCTTGATCCTCCTTTGCATCTGTTTTAGAGAAACCCAGGAAGTTGGGGGTTTTTTGCCTCCATATTACAGGAGGGTTTTGGTATACCAAAACCATTTTAAGGAGAGATCAATTTTCCTTCTGTCTGATTCTGTCCTTCCTTTTCTATTTCTCCTCTTTGTTGATTTTGGTGATTCTGCTCGATCACTGCAGAGTAGATCACAGGCCAGGCATTCTTTCAGGAAGGTCACTTCTGTAACTATTTAAGTGCAAGTGATACTAACACAAGCACTACCACATTTTAAGAATAGGTAAGTCTGTTGTGCTGCCCCAATAACCTGTTCTTGTTGTGGTGTTTATTTTTCAGCTAATCAGCACTTGATTTTCAGTGAAACAGCCGTGGAAATGTCGCATTGGAACATGTGGAAACTGAGGGAGATTCCATAGTTACAGGATGTGATTTACTCCTAAAAGATGATGAAATAAAAAAGGCAGTTTTTTATACAAATGTGTTTTTTTAATTTGCACTTAATATAATTTGATTTGTCTTCCTATGTGGGCAGGTTTGGGCATGGAACATTCATGGTTTGTCTGGAAAACATCTACAAGAAGATCACAGGCAAAGATCTGAAATATGAGGCCCTCATGGGCAAACCCAGTAAAGTGACCTACCAGTATGCGGAATACCTCATCAGGGCCCAGGCAGCAGAGAGGCAGTGGCAGCACCCCATTCACACCCTGTATGCTGTCGGGTAAGGCACCCCAAGTCCAACCAGTACAGCAGCAAATCACCCACAACAGGAATACCAGCAAAGATCCACAACTTGTACTAGCTTGTTTCTCATACCATTGGGACCACTAATATTCTTGGCACTACGGTGTACTTCTTACAGTGTTTTGGAGCCTCAGTGTTTCTAATCTTGAAAATGAATGATACTTTGCTCTTTCTATGTCTTATTTCTGTAGAAGCACAAAAAGTGGTTTAGATGCCACTAAGGTTTCTCCTGATTCCCTTCCCCCCAACAAGAGGCTGTGTAAATCTAGCAAAAAGGATTTGCGTGGGTGGTTTTTTATTAAGATTACTGGTAAACAACAGTTATTAGAGAATGTAGAGCTAGATTTTATTTGTGAGGTCATTAAGCTTAGTCATATGCTACTGTGCGTGCCGTCCCATCATAGAATCCTTTTCATAGATAGAGATAAAGCTGTATTGTATTAAAAGATGTTCCAGAGTCTCCAAGATGACTGGAAATATAATGAACTCATTCATGGACTGCAAATACCTATCCTTGATTTCCAAACTGAAATTTCACTAGGGAGTTATTTACTCTTATCATATGCCATGCTTAATGAAAGTTGTGTAATAAAATAACTATAGAATTGGGTTTCTTCTGATTTGCATATTCCCACATAAAGTCATGTAAAGCATAAAATAAACTGTTAAACCAAAACTGCATAAATGTCCTTCAGACTTTGCAGTCCGACAACCCCAACTGCCCTGCTGACTAAACTGTTTCTTCTGTTTCCAGAGATAACCTCATGACTGATGTCTATGGTGCTAACCTTTACAATCGCTATCTTGAAGAGAACTCCAGACAAGGTTCAAAATCCTGGGTTCAGGCCAAAGTTGCTGGTGGCAGGGGACCCGCCGCGCTCTCTCAGGATGAGGAGATAGACAACAGCTGGGAGAATGAGTTAGCATCCGCAGCTGCTGCCCACTGTAGGTCTGTTCTTGTTTGTACCGGGGTTTACAACCCACACACTGAGGTGCCCTTGGATACCAGGGCGAGCATAGCTGAAATGGTGTTCCATGGCCACAGAGATTTTAGATTTGAGCCTGGCTTAGTAGAGCCAGATCATATTGTACCAGATGTTGATGCTGCCGTAGACCTGGTCTTCCAGCTGGAGAACTTTGCACCTTATTGAAATGACCTGATTTCTTAAGGACTACTCAGTGCTATGCTTTTCTTCCCCCAAACCAAACTGTGCTTTAAAATCATGCCAAAAACTGCTGCTTTCTAAAATTTTTAAGCTTTACATGAATACAATCTTATATTAAGTAAACTTAGGTATATTAATTTGCTTAATATAAGTATATTAAATATCAACAATGCTTTTTAAAGTACTTGGAAATACGTCATTTGTTGCTTTAGTTGCCCTTCATTCTCCTCCTCTCAATTATGTTAGGTATTTTAATAGCAATTTCTCATAGCAGTTTATGCATGTTACTGGTATCTCAATTCTCATGTGACTACTTCTGTTTGCTGGAAGATTCAGCTTCCAGGAACTGGGATCTTGAGAGTGTCGGCCCATGGGGCTGGGGTTGCTCACACGCTTACAAACTGGCAGGTACAGAGCATATGTTTTGCCACTTGGGATTCTGCAGCTAATGAGTACTTTTCCCCATCAGAGCAACGTGAAGTCTGTTCTGCTTTGTACTTGCTCACATACAACCCTGCAGCCTTTCTCTTTACCTGTTTCCCATGTGTCTGGAGCTGCTACAGCTTCTCCCTGCTCTGACATGTAAAGCCTTAATAGAAATGCGGTTGTAAGATGGAGAAGGCAGACTTGTGAGCACCAGTTTTGAAACTCCAACTAAGCTGAACAGTCATGTAAGGAAAGCAGCTAACGTTGGGTGTCTTGTGTGGCAGAATACCTGGCCTTTTGTCTTTGCCTTTTTATCTGCACTTTTTGGAGGAATTTAGGATTTTAGAAAGCTTCAGCAATGATGTTTCAGGCATTTCTGTCAGTTGGACTTCTCCATGGAATGAGTGACTACTGTTTGGGTAAAAAGTGCCTAGTAATTTACTTGAAGCTTCTTACCACTGTGGTAATTACCTGGCCTTTAGTGTAATATATTTCACCTTGTGTCTGTTACATGTTTGTTGGTTCATGAATTTTATAGCTGTTCATTTAAAAATAAAAGTAATTTGTTATTTTTATAAAATACTTTTAAGCTTTTTAATCCAAAAGATGTCTTTGAAGATGTATTTGTGTTATTTGTTATAGCAGTGTGTATGGTGTACTTGTGACACCAGGTAGGAAACTGAAGCCAGTGAAGTGTGGTTTAAGAACGAGGTCAACTTACACACAACTGTCACTCACCATAACTTTGGGGTGTGTCAGATTTTTATGGTTGGATTTATTTTGTTTTCTTGTCTGTTTATCTTTTCCCAAATCAGAAATGGCACAAACAAAAATCTGGGGGTCTTCATTTTTCCCAAGTTCTTGCAGAACTAGCAATCGGCAGCCAGATGGTGGCATAAAGTGACAAGACTTCCTGGCCGATTTCTTCACTGCTTACTGTCCTGCTATGAAAGAGAATGAAAACCACATCATGAAGAGAACACTGCTGCTAAGGAGTCCGATTTCTTTGTTGTGTTTTCTCCATCTGTAATCCCTCTCTCTACCATCAGGATTGTCCATTCATTCACTCACAATGTTTCACAGGTAGCTTTTAATGTTATCTTGCTGGATCCAGTTTAAGGCCACTGCTTTAAACAGTGTTTTTCCCATTCCTTCATTGGGAAAGTATTACAGCAGCACATTCTTGCCTTTTTTATTGGTGCAATAAACAGGTATGTTGCTATTTGTGCAGCACTCTCCTATAAGATGCCAGCTGCTTGTGAGGTGTGCCAGGTCCTCCTGAGCGAAGGCTGTGGGTCCGGTGTGCCAGGGTGCCGTGCTGCGTTGGTTCCGCGCTGGCACATGTTGCAGGGCTCTAACTATTGCTGGAAGTGGTTTCAGGCTGTCAGTGATGGAAGGAATAAAAAAATGGAAGTTGATGAACAGAAAACGTTCAGTTTCTTTCTTCTCTCCCCCCTGCCCCCCATCATAGAATCATGGAATGGTTCGGGTTGGAAAGGACCAGTTCCAACCCTGCGCCATGGGCAGGGACACCTCACACTAAACCATGGCACCCAAGGCTCTGTCCAACCTGGCCTTGAGCACTGCCAGGGATGGAGCATTCACAGCTTCCCTGGGCAACCCATTCCAGTGCCTCAGCACCCTCACAGGGAAGAACTCCAACAGCTCCGTGTCCTTCTTACGCTGAGGACACCGGAACTGCGCTGTGCTGCAAGTGGGGACTCACGAGATCAGAGGAGCAGGATCACCTCCTTCGACCTGCAGATGTGCATGGACACCTCAAGGTCCATGGAGGAGCTGTGTATACACTGCTTAAACTTCATCCCTCCTGGGAGCGCTATAATGCCGACATAGAAAATCCACTGTTCGGTTGCTGGTCAGGCTGCTGCTGTTTGTTAACGGCAGAAGACAATTTTTAGCCTCTATTCCCCTCGGACCCTTCAGGCTGTGCCTGCAGGGCAGGGGTGTAAACGGTGCCCAGTGAGTCTGCTTGAGCTGTCATTAATGGGATCCGTTGTGTGGTGTAGGGCTGAGTCCCAGCAGCGTGCCGGCGTGCCCTGGGGTTGGAGCCGCATCAGCGCGGTACCAAACACAGGCGGTTGTTGCCACAGATGATGGACGAAGATGAGTGCTGGGTGTGGGGTTTACTGTAAAACACGAGGGAGAAGCGCTGGTGCAGCGGGCGCCTGTGGTACAGCGGTCAGCGAGGCAAAGGTGCCGGGGCAGAACGCATGGCGGGGCTCCCCTCAGCTCGGCAGGCTGCCGCCATCTTGGCTTCACCTCAGAGCGGCTGCCCGAGGCGACCCCCTCCTCATCTGCCCCCTCCCCCCGCATCCCTTTTATCTATTTATTTATCTATTTCTTTATCTAATCTATTTATTTAGCTATTTATGTTTAAATTTTCCACAGCACAGAAGTAGGAACATGCAAAACCATCACCACCCCACAGGTCCCCAAGGCGCAGGGTATTTCAAGCTCCCCAGCTCGGTGGACTGAACTCCAGCTTGGTAAGTGGTACTATGGGCTTGGCAGCCCCTCAAAAAAGCCAAAACGCTTCTCAGAAATAGCAGCTGAGAGCGTTCGTTCACAGTTTCAGCCTCCCCTCGTTCAGGTTTCAAAACAGGTGCTTGGTGTTTCCTGTCAGTAACAGAGCTTGTGCCCCAGGGCTGAGATGGGCACAGTTTGGTGCTCTTGAAACCCAGGTGCTGGGAAGGATGTGTTTACCCCTGCGTTTTGCTGCAGATGGTGAAACCATGAATCAGAAACATGCATTTTAGTAAGAGCTGTGGTTTATGTTTGGGGTTGGGCAGTCGTTTGGGCTCTCTTCAGTAAGAAAATAAGCAAATGCGGCATGAAAGCGTCACAGTCGTTTCTGTGAGGGGTTTCTGTAAGGTGGAAGGGACACAGAGCTGAAAGGCCCTGGAGCAGCTGGGGTTTGTTCTGCCATGGATGGCTGACTCGCAGAGACAGGCCCCGTACCATGGGCATGCTTCCTTTCCGAGCTGGCTGCTGGCTCTTTGTCAGCTGTTTGTTGTTCACAGAATCCCAAGCGTTGCAAGGGACCTCAAAAGATCATCTCGTCCAACCCCCCTGCAAGAGCAGGGTAACCTAGAGTACATCGCACAGGAACTTGTCCAGGCGGGCCTTGAATGTCTCCAACGTAGGAGACTCCACAACCCCCCTGGGCAACCTGTTCCAGTGCTCTGTCACTCTCACAGTAAAGACATTTTTCCTGATGTTTCCATGGAACCTCCTATGCTCCAGTTTACACCCATTGCCCCTTGTCCTGTCACTGGACATCACTGACAAAACCCTAGCTCCATCATCCTGACACTCACCCTTTACATATTTGTAAACATTGATGAGGTCACCCCTCAGTGTCCTCTTCTCCAAGCTAAAGAGTCCCAGCTTCCTCAGCCTCTCCTCATAAGAGAGATGTTCCATTCCCTTAATCATCTTCATGGCTCTGCGCTGGACTCTTTCAAGCAAATCCCTGTCCTTCTTGAACTGTGGGGCCCAGAACTGGACACAATATTCCAGATGCGGCCTCACCAAGGCAGAGTAGAGGGGGAGGAGAACCTCTCTTGACCTACTAACCACCCCCTTTCTAATGCACCCTAGGATGCCATTGGCCTTCTTGGCCACAAGGGCACATTGCTGGCTCATGGTCATCCTCCTATCCACCAGGACCCCCAGGTCCCTTTCCCCTTCACTACTGTCCAGCAGGTCAGCCCCCAACCTGTACTGGTACATGGGGTTGTTCTTCCCCACATGCAAGACTCTACACTTGCCCTTGTTGAATTTCATCAAGTTTCTCCCTGCCCAACTCTTCAGCCTGTCCAGGTCTTGCTGAATGGCAACACAACCTTCAGGTGGTGTTTCTGATGGATGGAAAGGAGCAATACTGACAAAATGGTTCCCAGAAACACTGTGCTAAACTTTGACACTTCCAGTGTAAGTTATTGCTCCCAACAGCTGGAGAGTCTCAGTGGAGCCTGTTAGTTGAGAGAGCCGCTTCAAGCACAGTGCGTGTACGTAGTCCCACCAGGGCATCCATGTTTGTAATGATTTGATATAGTTTTGTATGAGGTGCAAACACATTTCAAAGGAATGTATATATTGCTTTCAATGACAGGAGTTGCACAGGCAGCAGAAAGCTGGCCCAGACCTCTGGTTTACTTAGTTTCCACATTGCCTGTCCTGTGTGCTTGTTAAAAGCGAGACTACCCTGTTGTTAGGGCAAGTGCAGTGTAGCTATTTTGTGCCCCCCGCTTAGTCTCACCAGGGCTTAAAGGAGGATAGAAATAGTGACCTTAATAACATTGCACACAGAAGACTGTTGCTCAGAGAGGTGGAAATCTCTTTCCTGCAGTGTCACAGGCAACCGTTGCAGGAGTTTCTTTAAAACTCAGTGGTGTGCTTGTCTGCAACTTGAACAGAAATGGGTACTAACAGTCTTTATTGTATGGTATTGCTGCATATCTTACACAGTCTGTGTTAAAACCTTTTGCCTATACAAGGATGAATTCTTGGGTGATGAAATACATCCTTGTTTCAACGTTGACTAAACCAGCCCCAGTTTCAGAAGAACGTTTCGGTGGTCACTAATGTGAACACGATAAATCAGTACATAGAAGAAGGTATTAATTGCCAAATGTTTACTTTAATTAAACCTTTTTAATGATACACAGTACAATGCATCCACTACTTTGCTAAAATTCACAACAAAAAGTCAGATTCATATGTTTAAAAATATTTTTCATAATAAATTCATAAATAGATGAAGATAAAGTATAAAAAATTACTGTAATATGCAAGCTTGCTCCCTTGTCTCCTCATACTTGAAATGATCTAAGTATTGTGATAAAGTTTAAAAGCAAAGTAGTTACTCCTGATTAGAAATGTACAACCTGCATTTCTTGAAGAAACCTTGAGAAACAGCAACAGATTCATCCTAGAAAATGCAGAATAATTTTAACACTGTTATCATCCAAACCCCTCATCTGATTTTGGAATGCAGTGAATTCAATATGAATTAAGAGATTTATATTTTCTCCCCAGCAGGTATCTCAGCCAGACTCACTTGAATGCTACCTGGTCTCTGGAGTTGCAGGGTTTATACCTCAGGTATCAGTGAGTGAGGCACAGCAGTGGGAAAAGCTGGTTGGCAGCACTGAGCATATCTAACTATCAAAAATCTCAGCATTTCTCCTTACAGACTTAGAAAAGAGAAATCTTTAAAAACAGTTACAAATAACTAAATTCACCTTCCCCTCAGTCTGTAGCTCCTTTCTGTCTGGCAAGCAGGACAGTGTCTGATCCCATCCATTGGCTTCCCTGGCTTTGAAATGGTGCGTGTGTGTGTGCAGCACCATTCCAAGCCTTAACTCTGCCTGGTGAATCTCTTGCATCACACCATCAGACTCTGTCAGCAAAGTCATCAATATTATCACTCTCTTAAGAAAACGTACATAGCATTTTATTTGGTCAAGTATCAAACTACTTTTCACACTTAGAATTATCTATTTAAATACCATTTATAAAGGGAAAAATGCTTACTGATGCAGAGCATTGAAGCAGGGAATGAACATGTAAATCAGGATGCTCTTCTTTTCACATGATTTTTTTTTTTTTTCCTGATAGTTAACTATTTCCTTTTAGTGCAAAACCAGTTCCATCCAGGTCTTGTGCTTTTTTGCAGTGGTAACTAGGTGCTTTTGAAGACCTTGGTAGGCCTCTGTCTGCAGCTTTAATGTCTCTGAAAATTCAGCTCTTAACTCAATTTTTAAAAGTACCTTCAAATTGTCAAGACAAGTTTGCATGCCATGTTCAAAGGGCAATCTTTCATACTTGTTTTCATATACAATAGTTTGGATAACCAAAATCACTCCCTCACATCTTCATATGAGTCTGTATTGCTCACAGCATTTACTGCAGAGGAAATGGGTGTTGATCATCACAAGTTCTGCAGCACAGTGCAGTGTAATAGGCTGTTACTTAGTGCTTACTGAGCAGAGACTGGCGTTTGAAACTACACAGATTGGGTTGGGCACGAGCCTTAAAAAGACTATTTCTAAGAAAATACACTCTTCTATTTCATGTTTTCCTCTGCTTTTATCTGAAAAAGATAATCTTTTTGTCTAAGGGTCTTTTTATATTGATTAAACCATTAGAAATCTGTGCTAGCTTGCCACAATTTTGGTCCTATGTAAGTTACTTTATGCCCAAACTTACGGAAACTTGGATTCTTTTAGCTAGCTATTATATCTGAATATATAATGTGTAATTTAAGATGTCTGAGTGAGTTTATAGGGGAATTAAGGTTTACATTCCCACAGGGTAGTCAGTGATATATGTTCTTATGAAAGCTTAAAATAGGTGATTGCTGTTCTTAGTTTCCCAGTTTAGGCTTCAAAATTAAAAGATATAAATGTAGGATTTTTTTAATGTTATGCTTATGACTAAAGAAAAATAGTTCACTTAGAGGAATCTTGCTATAATAACAAATTTTGAATGGGGCAGGTAAGCCTTAGACAGAAATGGCTTTAAACAGAAGCAGCTTTGTGTGTTTATGTAATATATACCTAATACCTGCCATATCTTCCCTTGACCCACACTGCCTACTTGGACTTGATTGATTTCAGAGTAGACACTACAGGTATTAAATAGCTTTCCCAGGAGCAGGAGGTTGATAACATGCAAGAACTTGTCAGTTACAGTATCTGGTGGATCTTCAGTGCTTTGTGACAGGAATATTAATACTGTTTTCTGTTAAATCTGAAGTTGAAAGGAAAGTAGAAATCAGTGGCAGCAGTCCAGTTGCATAATCAGATTGCAAATACCTTAACTGAAGTCTAAAAAAATCAAGTGCCATTTTGGATCTTTGGATTTTTCAAATGGTTTCCTGGGGGAGAGAGACATACTTTTAAACTCATAATGAAGGAATAGGTTCTAAATACAGCTTTAAGTCAACCTCACAGCTGTCCAAATGTTAAACTGTGCTGTTGCCATCCAATTCACTAGTTTAGCAGTTCACTCGTCGTCAGTATAGACAGCAGTTTTCTGTTGTACAAGAAGTGAACAGGAAAGCCCAAAAAACTACTTCTGTAGTGCATTATTTTACCTCTGGGAGGGAAAGTGTAAGCAAGCATTGATTAAACCCAGCACATGTAATTGAACTAAATAGAAAATCTTCCCTGACTCTTACTCAGGCTTCTCTTTGCTCATTCTTGTGAAGTTATTCAGTTCCTTTGTTTTCTGCTGGCTGCTGACTCGTATGGAAAACCAAGACTGTTGTTGACACAATCTATCTTCAGTGACACCTAAAGTTACTTTACTTATGTACTAGAGGTAACTGCCTGTAATAGAAACCCTTGTTTAAAAAGGGAAGAAAAAATGGCAACCCTTTTGTGCTTCAAAGCATTCTTTTTAAAGTGAATGTTTTTCAGTCACATTAAAAAATGGTATCTAAGGTCAGGACAGGTGAGTGCGCTAGCTAGTTGTGTCTAACCTCTGGCACCAATTCTATGGACAGCAAATACACATTTGGGTTGGTTTGTTTACTTTGCTCTTTTCCAAGTAAACTACAATGAAATGATAAAGATGCTGAGGGCTAAACCTGTTCTGGAAATTACAGCATCTCATAGAATAGTTGTGAGGTTTTTTTCCTAAAGTAAGCAGTGGGGATTGCAATTAAATGCTTCCATCTGAGATTTTTTTTGCTGCTTTGAACAGTTCTATAACCTAATTCAATCAGGTTAAAACAAATCTAACGTTACCTGGCCAGTAAAAACTAAGATACCCAGAAGGCTGGTTCTCCAACTCAAATCTCAATAGAATGTTTAGCACCAAAAATACTATAAAAATAAAACGGAGGCAGTATTTACTCATAGCATGGAAAAGAGCTGTCAGATCTGAGAACAGCCTGATCAGCATGGACTCTGCTTTGTGACTTTACTTCATGCAACTGTAACCATTGATCTACAGTAACAATGTGACATCTTTTATGGCCCAATTTGTGAACCTAGAATGCCTTTTAGCTGATAAAACATTCTAATATCATTTGAGAAAGGCTGATCACCCTAACCACTTAATTACGCTAAACTTTGGGCTTCAGTTCACTTTTACCATGAACTATACATGCATGCCCTTGGATCTGTTGCTCTTTAACACTTCCTGTAGCACAAGGGCAGGAATACAGCTACATGGTCATCATCAGCTGCTGGCACAAAGTGAGTCACCTGGGAGCTACCTCTCTACAAAACAGTTCCTATTTCTTTGGATTTTCCCTGTTCACTGGTTGCACACTCTACCTGTAACCTGGTTTGCTTCTGGGAAGTCTCCATAGAGAATGATGGACAGGGGTTAAACTGAGCACCCTCCAAGGCTGGAAGATACCAAAAGGAGAGTAACTTTATTTTTCAGTTTCACAAAGCAGTTACTGTTCTCACTTCATTTTCCTCCAGCACACTGTTTACCCAAAATAATGGAAGAGGGTAAAATTCAGTGCTCTGTTAACATATAAATGTTTTGGAAGCAGGACAGGTAAAGATAAAACCATTTCTATTCATGAAGTAACACACAAATTAATATTGATTTAAAGAGACTTTCATTATTTGAGTAAAACAATCCCATGAAGAGAAACTAATAATGCTACCTCCCAGATCCCTCAGGATTGGCATGAGATGGCAAAAGACATTCAAATGGTCAACTGGCTGGGGCTCTGAGATTCAATAACACAGGTGTAAATCTTAATGGGACAGGGTATACTGGGGTAGGTGACAGAAAGGCTTTAATGTTATTTAAGGGTGTTACTGTGTGTGTATACATACTGTAAAGTACTACTGCAGCAACACAGGTATAGTGCGTGTAATGGTCAGCTCTATTCTTCAAATAAATACGATCTTTAAAGGCAAAGAAAAGACTGAGCATGAGCTCTCATTTTCATTAAGTTCTTAGAAATCTATGGGCATTATCTGGGCTTAATTTAGTTTTGTAGTTCTACCCCCTGTAAAAGGGACCTGCTTTCCACTGCTGAGAAAGTGATAAAATCATTAGGACTTAGGTTCTGTTCATTTTGTTTTGCGAAGTAAATGTTAGCAGGTTTCTGGGCTGAGGTTTCTTTGGTGTTATATTTACATAATTCTAAATACCTGTGCAAGTTCCATCCTTGGTGATGGACTGGATGAGTAACTGCAGATAAGATTAGTTTAAATCAAAATCAGTCCAGAGGATAACAATGCAGAACACTCCTGGGAACCACATTCTGCTGATTATTTCAGTTCAGTATTTGCCTCTGCGTTCCACTCCTAAGAGTTACAAGGCAGGGATTAATGTCCCCTTCTGTGTCTTTGTAATATTTTGCACACTTTGGGCATTGCCAAAAATAAATGATAAATACTAACGCAAATACATGGTCAGCCAAGGAGATCTGCTTAAAAGCAATTACTGCAACCTAGTCTTGTTAATATTCAACTGCCAGTAACCAGGTTTCTTGGCAAATGTTGATGCTGTGAACTCTGCTCATGCACTCCTGAATTATTCACTCGCTGTATGGCAGTGTGCACTTGTACCCTAAGGTTTCAAAGAGAGGTTTTTACCCCTAAATCCCAGGTTTATTGCTACTCTCTCTCCTCACCCTGGTATACTTTTGGTTTCAAGAGGATTAATGGAATTAAACCAACAGGACTATCTTCCTAACACTTGAATTACACATTTAATAGAAGTCTTCAGAAGGACAGTGAAAAGCTCCAAGTTACATTTACTAATTTATTTCTGGCCAAGAAGCTATCAGCCTAGTGAGTATTGTAAGGCTTTGGTAATTGAAATAAGCTTTTTACTACTGACAGCCAAAGCACTGTCATTCATAACTGCTGCTAACCTGAAAAAATAAACCAAGTCTTCAGGCTGTTTCTTTGTTCCCTTGTGTTCCATTAGGCAGGGCATGCAAACTTGTATTGCACTTGTTACAACATAGAAGAGCCAAGAGTTAGAAGACAAAGCTGACTTAAAGCCATAGTCGTAGTTTTCTACAACAAAATGAAACCTGATCTGAATTGGTGCATTCACTCAGAAATACAGCAAACAAATCACTGATGCTGTATCTTATGTTTTCTGACTGGAACAGACTAACATGTAGACAGAGTCTCAGCCTTCAAGACTACCTTAAGGAATATATGGGGGCAAATGGTAAGGAAAATTACAGCGCTTGGTCTAATTCTACTTGTCTACTAAACAAACCTGAAAACTAAGGAAATGGATCAACAGTTCCTCAGTTCTCTATCTATTATAAATGCACATTCACTGACTGCATTGCAAGCAGGATTTATGTTCATTTTGCATCTTGTTCCAGTTGTAAAATGAGTTACTATGTAAACTACTAATTTCAATCTTACTAGCAGTACCGTTCTTCAATGCATGTGAATCTTTATCAGCATGGCTTAAATAATTTGGCACTAATCCTGCAAACAGTGGGAGCTTATCTGAGGGTCTATGTTCAAGCATGCTGACCTGCAGGACTGTTACCTACAGATGTAAACTAGAATATGGCATGACAAAGTCAAATGCTTGCTAGTATCCTGGATCTTCAGGACCAACTAACCAGGAAGAAAAGCATTCATCAGGACTGAGTTTTAGCTTGGACTGTCTTCAGGAGCAGAATACAGGGTTTGCTAATCACTAACAAATCCAGAGTATGGGTAATTCCCATTTTCAGTGTCTAGCTACTGCTGGACACTTCCTGCCTGTGGTCTTTGGATGTAGGAGAGCTTGGAATGTCTTGGAAAACTATCAAAAATACTCCTAAGTACTGCAGCTCAACCTGCCCTTCTGTATAAAACATTACAATTGTGAAAACTATACTAATTGAAAAATTTAAGGCCCTTTCAATCTCACAACTATAAAACTTGAAAACTAACGCCTTAGATTAGAAGCAAGAAGGCTATAAAGCATACGTTATGCCTCAATTGGCTACCTCAGAGTTTAAAAACCCAAAAAGACCAAAGAATGGTTCCATATTTTCTGTTGCAGGATGAACAGTATTGAAATTAGCCCATTGATCCATTAGCCCTTTCTTAAAACTTCCTGATTTTCATGATACTGGATATGTTAAATGGCTAAAAACTAGTGTAGCTCTAGTAGCAAACCAATCCAGGTCCGCTTTGATCAAGATTTTCCAACAGGATGTGACTTCACCTTAAATGCGTGCTTTCTGAAAACGAGCTCCTTTAAAGCATCAGGACTGCAAAAATCACTTGTCACTCTGAACGCCTTTGCTTTAATCACAGAGTTAAAATAATCCTGCTTCTGCTCTCTTTGCAAGTCCATTTTTGTAAGGTGCTGGAGAGTGTAAGTCCAGAAAGGACTGCTGCCATCAGTACTTCACCTGCACCTACAATGTGTAATACAGAGCTGAATCTGAAAGACAACTATATGGAGTTGTATTACTAAATCTATTTAACTTAACAGTGTAGACCTTTGATCAACAGTGAAAGATTCTTCCTGATGAGTGTTTTCAAGGAATGAAAAGGAACCGGTAATTTCTGACAGGGAGAGGGAAGCAGCTGAGTGCAAAGTTGGGAGGGAATTACTTGAAAAGGTGCTGTTTCTTAAACCCAAGAAGTTGCAATGCATGCAGTTTTCAGCTCTTCAGAGGTCTTCTTTCTCATTATATGCCAAGATTGTTTTTAAAGAGATGGTTTAAAAACACCCAAAAAGCAAAACCCGAATCCAAAGCAAAAATTAAATCCACTTATACCACTTAAGCAATAAACACTCTGGTAACATTATGTCAAATATATGACCAGAATGAACCCTGTTAATGACCATTAGGCACATGGCAGGAGATCATGGCTACCAGTCAGTTCAAGGTTTCTCCAGTTCCTCTTTCCAGTGGCGCAGGTCTTGAGTTGTGGAATGAAATTAAGAAACCTGAGGGAAAAAACTCAATGATACCCACTTGGAAAAGGGAGCTATCACTGTGCAAACAAGAACAAATGAAATGCGTCTACCCTCTTCTCAAGGCTGTATTTAAAATAACTACACTGGTTCAGTCCTGTTTGACCGCAACTTCTGTGATACTGCTCAGGCTGATCTTGCTTTTTGTTAACTTGATAAGGTAAAATTCTAACAAAACCTGAGAAAAGACTTCCCCACCTGGGCCTGTCCCAGTGTGAATCAGCAATTCACATGCCCTAGGGCATGGTGACTGCTTTCTGGTCCTGTAATCAAAATGCTGGGGATTCTAGCACTTGAAATACCTTTATCAAAGACACTGGCACTTTCTGGTCATTGGTGGAGTGCTGAGGATTTACAGTCACTGTTAAGACTGCCTATTCCAAAAGTGACCTCCTTTGCCAACAGTCCCGTGCTAAATGCTTCAGAACTCTGGGTGTGTGTCAGCCTCTTCCCCAACCATCTGCCTCCCTACCCCACATCACCAGTTCCAAGTTGTTTCTTCCACTTTTGTAACTCGGGTGAAGGTTACAGAAAAGGAGATGGTGGAGATGGAACGTTTTTCAGAGGGTTTGACTTTTAGGACTACCTCTCAAGAGTCACTTTTTAAAACTAAGAAACCAAAGCAAACAGGATTGTGTCTAACTTCTACATAACTGCTGGTTTCACAGGAGGAGGAGGATATGGCTACCATGCTACTCAGCATTAGGGTGAAGCACCATCTAAATTCCAGTAAAGTCAGGGACATCACCTAGCTCATATCAGCAACCACACCCCCAGCCTTCTGCAACGTCTTTGCTGTCAAGCTTGATGCTGTCAGTATTCTTCTCACTGAACATAGGGCCTCCATGCCTCATCATGAGCTCTGTAGCCATCTTCACAAAAGCCTCCTCCACATTGCTGGAGTCTTTCGCAGAGGTCTCTATGGCACAGATGATATTATCATAGTGTTCAGCCAGACTCTGAGCTTCCTCCAGCTGAACCTCTCGAAGGTCACTTAGGTCAGACTTGTTTCCTGGAAGAAACAACAGAGTCACTTATAATGTTTCTGTCAGAGTCAGTATTTAGCAGGAGGTTCTCGGGTTTCCAGAGCTGCAGAATTGCCATTCTTGGAGATTTTCAAAGTTTGAATGAACATGCCCTCTCTGACCTGCCATCAGCCCTGCTGTCAGCAGGAGCTGGACTGGATAACCTCCTCAGCCCCCTCCAGCCTCTATTCCTGTATGACTCGGACAGAGAACAGAAGAAGTCAGTAGCTGAAGAGTGGTGGCTGTACATCTTAAGAGAAGAAAAATGAACTAGAATTGGAAGTTAAAAGCATTTTGTGAAAACAGCAGCAGCCTGTACCTAGGGAAATCTGGGACAGTGCTGATGTTCTATTAGCGGGTTTCCAAGCCACAAGAGCTGTATCTGAGTCAGAAACATTGGGTCTGGGAAGCACAGAACTGACAAACCCTGAATGCCCCAGAGTCCTTCTGAAATTTCCCATTTGCTGAAGTTGGTGGGTGTTCCAATTTGCTAGAACGTGTTGGCTTGATATGATGGAGGCTCTCTGATCCCTGGAAACCTCATGATCCTTACCATGAGGATAGCTCCCAGCAGCTGTGCCTCAGAACCTGCAAATCTTGCATGCCCAGTTCACCATTAAGGGAGAATCAGAGGGTTCAAAGCTGGCTTCTGATAGAAAGCTGCCTACTTCTTAACAAAAGTTAATAGAAGCAAAACATTTCTGGTTTGATAAATCAGCACTTTCTAATGAAAAAAACAGGAAAAATTTCCAATGGGATCTATTACATACATCTTAATTCAAAACTAAAACTAACCATCTTAAACGGGTATAGAAACAGATATTGAAACATTGTATGGTAACCTGTAGCACTTGGTACTAATACTTTTTACTCACCGATCAGCAGCTGTACTATGTTGGAACCAGCATACTTCCTCACATCCTCGATCCAGCGAGGAATGGACAGGAAGGAGCCTCTCTTGCTGATGTCATAGGCCAGGATTGCTCCATTGGCGCTGCGGTAGTAACTCTGTGTGATAGTGCGGAATCTCTCCTGGCCAGCTGTGTCCCAGATCTGCAACTGAATAAAGCAAAGCACACAGTGAGATGCTGGCTAGCAATCTTTCCTCAGCAAAAGACAGGATTTGATTCAATAACCTTGTTAAAAAGCTCCCTTATATGTAATATATTCTGGCATCACATCTTTCTAGTCCTTTGTTCATGATTCAAGGATAATAATACATACCAGAGAATGTTTTTGCACTTGGCTGCTCAGAGTTTGGATCAGTTGAGACACTCTGGGATCCTGCAGGTGAGCTCTGATGCATCCTTCTGTGGCAGATCATGGAAACTATCACTTGTGTGTCCAGCCTACCCCTCTATAACCTTCTCTGGCAGAGTTATCAAAACAAGACATTAGCCCATAGCCAAGCCATTCCAGTTCCTCATCAGGTGTGTCACTGAAACTACAGAAGGGTTTTCACTAGCATCGTGTCTGTGGTACTGATATAGGCTTGCCAGTTCTGCTACTGGGGCAGTAACAACTGGAGCAGGATGTGGTGGTCACCCAAGAGCCCTGATGCTGTTTGGTAAGTACATATGAGATAACTGAAGGAATATATATAGAATACATAAAACATATAAAAGAAATGCCAGCAATTTCTGGTTTCAATACAGTCAGTCAAAGATCTAGTCAGCTAGGCAGCTGTCCTTTTTTAGATGGTAAAACAGACATTACATCTGGGCAGGAAGAAGAAATGCTTAACTTGCATACTTTTGCCTAAATCCAGCAGCATAAAAACTATGAGTTTAGTACCAGGGTTTGAGTTTCCAGTACTAGATGTTCCAGAAGAAGCAGCCAAATTACTCAGAGTGGACAAACACAATATCCTGCTTACAAGGAAAATGTCTTTCTAAGTCCTCTTGTTTTATAGGTTGTGTAATATCCTGGAACATGACAGCTTATATTCCAGGAGCTTCTAATCTAAAGTAACTGTGGATGTTCTCATCCTCCATATAAGTCTCTAATCCTTTTTGAATCTTTCAAAGCTCTTGGCTTCAGTATAGTGGCAATTAAACCAAAGAATTTCCTTTGAGAAATCTTATGTTTTCTGTCCTTCTGTTACACTTTCACTTCTCTATCCCCAAGTGACAAATGAGACACCACTGCTTGCCTTTTTGTGCCATTCCTTATATTCTGCACCTCCTCTTGATTGAGGCAGGACAGAGCAAATACTTGTGGGGTTTTCAATCTTCCCATATTGTGGACCTGTTACTTAGTTTTTCTCCTCTCTCTGAACCTCGTCATTTTAAACAGCTGATAACTTCACACAATGTGTGGCAGTGATATTTTATCCTCAATAATATGGAATCATTTTTCCATTTCTTTCTTTTGCACATTAGTATTTTGTTTTTATCTTCTGACTCTGCTGCATCTTTGAGCAGCAACTTTCACTTTGGAAAAAGGCTGTATTGATCAAATCACTTTCCTGTGCTAAGCTAACTGATGGTAAGGCATTTAGATCCCAAACTGTATATGTACAGCTTAAAAGGAATCAACCCAATGAGAAAGTACTTCTCAGTCCTAATAAGAGTTTTCCCAGAGAAGGAGATGGGACTGTAACGGCCTCAGAAAACCAAAAACCACAAAGCAGTGATTATTAACAGGGCAGATAATGGCTTAGAACAGTCAACACACTAATACCAGGGACAAGGAAGTTCATGGCAGGTTTATGTATGATGTTCTCTGTACTCACGCCTCCCACCAGACCTTTGTGCTCATTACATAGTTTTAAATCTCAATCCTTGATTAGGTCAAGTGCAAAACAAGGCTCATGACGATTACCCAACACTTGGGAGAGGTCTGAGAGATTCTTTGCAGACAGAAGGATCATAAACATTTTAAATTAAAAAAGAAAAAAATGTTACAGCTTACACTTCTCACACGGTGTAAATAAAAGTGGTTTACTTGCATAGTGACTGAGCAGGCCAGGCTTGGGCTGTACACTGCATTTTGAAACCTCTATAGAAGTATATTCCATAGAATCTCAGAATCATTGAGGTTGGGGCAGATTTTGCGAGGGGACAAAGGCAATTGCCTGCCTCAAGTGGTTTCAAAGCTTAATTCTTCCTGAATCTATGATTTTCACAGGGAGCAACATAATTCTGATTAGCCTGTAGTTCCCAGGGTTTCTAGTCCTTTCTGAAGATGAGTATGGTATTTCCCTTTCTGAGATCCTCCACAGTTTCCACAGCCTTTCAGTGGCGATAGAGCAACCTCAAAATGTCATCAGCAAGATCTCACGGCACCTGCCCCCATTTTTTACTCAAGCATCTGTCAAGTGTGGACAGGTTCAAGCATGTCTGTCCACAGGACTGCATGTACAAAGTTGCTGAAGCTCTCTGTGTGCTGCTGGGAACAACAGAGACCACAGGTTTGACCTTCTCAGGAGCTCCAACAGCAGTCTTCCTCAAGCCCTCATCCTTCAGGTAAGTTCTTTTTCTCAGGTATTTAAGTTCCCCACTCCTCTTTTGAATCATTTAACTTTTGACATGATCTTCAGTTTGTTGTGGTTTTGCTGTCATTGCTGAGACTACTCTATGTATTAGACCTATAAGACGTTTTCTTTGCAAACATACATACGAATGAAGACCTTAGGTCCACTGTAGAAGAGGATGTGGTTCGAGACCGTCTTAAGAACCTGAATGGGCACAAGTCCATGGGACCTGATGAAATCCATCTGCGGGTCCTGAAGGAGCTGGTGAATGAAGTTGCTAAGCCACTGGCCATCGTATTTGAGAAATCATGGCAGTCAGGTGAAGTTCCCGATGACTGGAAAAAAGGGAAATATAACCCCCATTTTCAAGAAGGGGAAAATGGATGACCCGGGGAACTACAGAGCAGTCAGTCTCACCTCTGTGCCTGACAGGATCGTGGAGCAGATTCTCCTGGAAGGCATGCTAAGGCACATGAAAAACAAGGAGGTGCTTGGTGACAGCCAGCATGGCTTCACTAAGGGGAAATCCTGCCTGACCAATTTGGTGGCCTTCTATGATGGGGCTACAGAACTGATGGACAGGGGTAGAGCAGTTGATGGCATCTACCTGGACTTGTGCAAAGCATTCGACACTGTCCCACACGACATCCTTGTCTCTAAGTTGGAGAGACATCAATTTGATGGATGGACCACTTGGTGGATAAAGAACTGGCTGGATGGCTGCACACAGAGTTGTGGTCAATGGCTCAATGTCCGGCTGGAGACCAGTAACGAGTGGTGTCCCTCAGGGATCGGTGTTGGGACCGGTCTTGTTCAACATCTTTGTCACTGACATGGACAGTGGGATTGAGTGCACCCTCAGCAAGTTTGCCGATGACACCAAGCTGTGTGGTTCGGTTGATACCCTGGAGGGAAGGAATGCCATCCAGAGGGAGCTCGACACGCTTGTGAGGTGGCTGATGCCAACCTCATGGAGTTTAACCATGCCAAGTGCAAGGTCCTACACCTGGGTGGGAGCAATCCCAGGCACAGCTACAGGTTGGGCAGAGAAGAGATTCAGAGCAGCCCTGTGGAGAAGGACTTGGGGGTGTTGGTTGATGAGAAAATGAACATGAGCCGGCTTCAGTGCATGCTCGCAGCCCAAAAAGCAACCGTATCCTGAGCTGCATCAAAAGGAGCGTGACCAGCAGGTCGAAGGTGGTGATCCTGCCCCTCTGCTCTGCTCTCCTGAGACCTCACCTGGAGCATTGTGTGCAGTTCTGGTGTCCTCAACATAAAAAGGACATGGAACTGTTGGAACAAGTCCAGAGGAGGCCACGAGGATGATCAGGGACTGGAGCACCTCCTGTATGAAGATAGGCTGAGGAAGTTGGGGCTGTTCAGCCTGGGGAAGAGAAGGCTGCGTGGAGACCTCATAGCAGCCTTCCAGTATCTGAAGGGGGGCTATAGGGATGCTGGGGAGGGACTTTTCATTAAGGACTGTAATGATAGGACAAGGGGTAACAGGTTAAAACTTAAACAGGGGAAGTTTAGATTGGATATAAGGAAGAAGTTCTTTACTGTAACGGTGGTGAGGCACTGGAATGGGTTGCCCAAGGAAACCCTGAATGCTCCATCCCTGGCAGTGTTCAAGGCCAGGTTGGACAGAGCCTTGGGTGCCATGGTTTAGTGTGAGGTGTCCCTGCCTATGGCAGAGGGGTTGGAACTTGATGATCTTAAGGTCCTTTCCAACCCAAACTATTCTACAATTCTTTATCAACTGACATACCTGCTTGTCACCGTTCCCACCACTTCTGCTGGCAGAAGGAACGAGGCAAGGGCTCACTCTTTGTTTCAGGGGAAGTCAGTCAAATATAGCCATGGTTTAATGACTCGCTTAAGCCAAACTAAGACAACACTGTCATCAAAGACCTGCCATCCCAGCTGTACATCCTTGCCCTCTCCCTGTACTGAAACTAACACTTGTGCTTTTTGGAGGGCTAGTAACAACTCATTCCTTACAATTTGAAAGCTTAGAAGCTTGTCCTATCATGGTGGTTGAAGTTTTAATAACTGCCTTATTTTAAATCATTAAGAACACAAACACACAGAGTATGCAAGTCTTAGGAACCAGATTATCTAAAAAAAATGTATATAGTATCTATGTTGAACTTACAAGGTGTAATTTGTTGTATTTACAAGTCGGTAACTCTGGACAAGAAATAACAATTGTAAATTCTTTGGAAAACAATTTAGTCTTAGTATTTCTTATTTAAAAGCCCCTCAATATAAGTTAGATGTTAAATTCAAAATCCCAAATGAACTGTACTAGCCACAGGTTACAACAAGAGATAGGATTCTTCCGTGTTGTGTATCATCTTCCATATTGTGTATCATCATGCAGTATATGACATGAAGTTCTTAATTTATTTCCTTGATTTAAGTGCTCTGGCTTTGTAAATGATGTGATGAAAGCAATGTCTGTCACTCAGTAACCTACTGAAGCCATTCCTGAGTTTGTGATTACTTTAGCAACAATTTTGGTGTAAGAAAGACAGATGTTGGGATTGCTGGAGAATCGTGTAAGCTTTACCTGAGGGTACTAAGAAAAACCACCTATGAAATAAGAGATGGGGGGACCCCTCTAGTAACAAATGAAGACAGAATAAAGAACAGAGAATAAACAGCTGTTGTTCAGAAGGAATATGACAGAATACCCTAAGTGAACAAAGACAAGGAGCCACCTTTCTTGTGCTAATTGTTTCACTCTTGAATGCCCATTTACTTACTAAAGCTGGTTAGTTTGATCTGATTTTAGCTTTGAATTTTTTGGACAGCACAGCCCTTAGCGCTGACTGGTACTGCATAGCAAAATCCTAAACCAGCTATTAACTCCTGTAAGACTTTTCATGACTCCATTTAATCACCATAGAATTGGAGCTTTCTGTTAAGTACATTAGACAAAGTCTTGAACATCTTTTCATATCTGCTTTTTCATCTTGTCCCGTTGGGAAGGAGTACATGTCATTCACTCCTTGCAAGGATGCAGGCTAGGGTCTGTGTGGCTGGGAAGCAGCTGTGCTGAAAAAGCCCTGGGGGTCTTTGTGGGCAGCAAGCTGAAGAGGAGTCAGCAGTGTGCCCTGGCAGCATGCTGAGCTGTACTGACAGGACTGAAGCTAGCAGATCGAGGGAGGTGATTATTCCCCTTTATTCAGCACTTACAAGGTTCTGGCTGAAAGACAGTGTCCAGTTTTGCTCCCTTCCCAGCTACAAGAAAGACACTGAAGAACTGGAGCAAGTTCAGTGGAGCCCCATCAAGATGGTCAGGTAACCTGAGTACACACCCCATGAGAAGAGCCTGAGGGAAACAGGCTTATTTCACATGGCATGCTGAGTACTTGTGAGGAACTTATCAAGAAGACTGAGCCAGGCTTTTCACTGTGGCTTAAACAAAACAGAGTTTCAACTATAGAAATAGACAAAGCATTGAAAATGGCGAGTGGCAGGTTGGTCAAAGAGCACAGTAAACAAGTATTATCAAATGGTTTGATGTGGATCCTTCTTGCATTGATAAACATAGTGTTTATCAAAGGTTAATGCTTAACAAATGGCCTCAAGACATGTTAAATCATTTCTCTCTCCCTTACTTCCTACATAATTTAAGTACTTTCCTGATTCTTCTAAAGTATCAAGGGAGTTCAGGTATACTTTTGTTTGTGAAGCAGCATTAATAACAACCAAGTACATCCTATAGCCGATACTTTACAAAGACAGAAACATCACTTTTATGCTAGGAATTCTTCAAAATATAGCAACTTCCATAAATTTTTCCAGCAGCGAAATGGAGTATGCAAAGACCATGCTAAATGATTCTTAACCAATTGACTGTGTCTAAATCCTATACACATTTCTGTACACTGGCAAATCACAATAGCTGCTCCTAAAAAGACTTACTGAAACTATCTTGTAACTGAAGCCATACAGTTTTTGCCAAAAGCAATAAAACTTAACACCTGTGTGGCAACACATTTCTATTTAAAGTGATATACGCACAACAGTTAGGACAAACTGCTCCACTCAACTGTTCCCTTACAAAATTGTCCAAGAATGAGGAATCCCCTCTTTGCTGGGAATGCAGCATTCCTGTTTGCTCTAGCATTATGAGTGTCAAAGTAGGTGACAGAGAAGAGAGCTACGCTTTCCTCTGGATCTCAAAGAATACTGCTTTCATAGAATAACCAATAGCTTCACTTGTATTTGTTTAGAACATTATTAAATGCAACAGTCAGGAGACATGACAGTTAACAAATCATGGGGTTATATTACTTGCAATTTGGCCAGATAATGACACATTATGTTTTGGGCTAGTCTGAAAGGAATATAGTTACAGCCACGAGGCCTGAATAAAAGCCAAGAATCTTGGTACCGTATGGGCTGAAAAACTTGTAAATTAAAAACTGCAATGATACATAAAGAAGTATTTGTTATAAAAGGAATGTGTTTTCGATTGTTCTTCCCTTCTGCTGCTTTCTGAAAGACATAGTAAGACAGAGAAAAAACTATGGCACAAAGATAAAAGTATTCAGTATATGTAAAACCACTATAAAATGACAGTATAAAGTAGAAATTAAAGATACCCCATTAACTTATCAGTCCACAGGAGGTAATTCAGGAAAAGAAAAGGAATTTTGTTATTGCTAACGACAATCTATGGACTTAGGAATGTTCTTGCCTAGCATTATGTAAAATCTCGGTTCCACCATTTTATAAATATCTTTTCTTCCAGTGATGTAACAGTTACAACACATTTTTGTTCTGTTTGCCAGATTCTTTCTATCACTCATAGAACGAGTAATTCTTTTAACAACAGCACATTAGTCACTATGCATTAAGTCAACAACCACAACTTCTGGGAACTAGAGCCTGCACTCAAGGATTTAGCCAGCTGAGAAGCATGTATTTGATAGAGCAGTACACCATAATTCCAACCTGTTGAGCAGCATACACTAGAGCTTTTTTAAACTAGTATAGACTGCAGACACTGCATAAAGCTGAGGGGGGAAATTCTGCGTATATGCTGGTCAGAATTTGCCCTTGGGATATAAATCAAGGTGGTCAACACAGGTACCCTTACTGTGAAGTTCCATTAGAAGCCAGTGTCTCAGACCTGCCAAATCCCTGCCTGGCTCCTGTTAGCTCCAATGCCTCCAAGAGTCCGCAGCTCACAACAGCCCGTCCCAGAGGGAACTGGCTTGTATAATCCCACTGGACAATATCTCACTGGACAAAACTGGAGATCTTAGAGAAAGAACAAGAACAGAAACAAGACTGGATGGCACAGACAAACTTACTCTCTGCAACTGGTAAATCTCTGCAAGTCAGGATATACTGGGGAGGTTACGGTACCAGCGCTTCACTGGTTCATTTCCAAAGAGAAAGGTTCAGTTACCAGCACTGTCCATCAACAGCTCCTTTCTCAAGCACTTATGTCTCTGTAGATGAAGTTTAGTCAGCTTTAGTAGCTGATGAAGCAGTAGCATACAAAACACTGTTTGAGACACCTGAATACAGCTTTTAGATGCAAGCAAAGCCTTGAGTTAAAAAAAAAAAGGCTATTTGCAGAACCTTAACTTTTAGTACCCCAACATGCTTCTTATCTAGCAAAAAGGCATCAAAGGAATTGAGACTTCCAATCCCTGGGCCTCAAGACGTTTCAGCAACATTATGCAAATATAATGACAACACCTGAAGTTTCAAACTAAAAGGGACACTAACACAAATGTTACGAGGTTTCCACCTCTAAGTAGAGCGTCCAGTTCACACTCGGTTGTGTTGTAACACTCTGCCTAGCCTGGCTGAAAATGAGGCCCAGACCATTAGGGATGTGGAGCAAGTGGTGATCAGAACTTCCCTGGGACTTCTTCTGTACACCACTACTCAGCTGCTTTATGAGGAAGCTCACGAAAGTCTAACGCAATGCCTCTTTATTTTCCATTTCTGATAGCATGCTCAACAATCCTACCCAGATTAGCTGCACTGCTCCAGATCTCAACCCAACCAGAAAAGCCTGGCTGGAATTTAAACTTCACACACAACCCACACCTCTAAGGGACCAAAGAAAACCCTCCAAGCAAATATTTTCATGTTTTAGCTGTGTCCCTCACTCAACAGCTAACAAAAATATCTGTAAAGTAAATCAGCCACACTGATTAATTTGCCTAAAGTAATGCCTAAAATACTCTTCTGCAATCTGTGCAGCCCCAGGGTTTTCTGAAGTGGAAGCAAAGAACAACCCAAAGAAAAAGAAAGCCTTGAGAGCTTGCATTTTCTTACTTGTTTTCTCTAAAATACTACTAAATCCCCAGGTTTTGTTGGGGGCCCATCAAGGCTGTACATGGGAGAAGGGGTAATACCACGAAGGAAATCAACACCTTGCTAGGCTGGAGCTTTTGATCCCCCTCCTTCCCTAAAACATGTGAGCCTTCATTTCTTCCATTTTCTGTGCTTAATATTCTGCTCACTAAAGTTAATCTGTAAGAAAAAGATAACAGAGGACTTTGACACCTACTTGGGAAAACACAGGCCAAAATTCAACTGCCATTCACAGAATCCCAAGGGTTGGAAGGGACCTCAAAAGATCATCTCGTCCAACCCCTCTGCAAGAGCAGGGTAACCTAGAGTACATCACACAGGAACTTGTCCAGGCGGGCCTTGAATATCTCCAACGTAGGAGACTCCATTACCGTATTTCCGTCACCAAAAGCTTTACAATCGCCTGATCTTTCCCAGGCAGTGACTGCACCAAGTTGTTTCCACTCCCGCTGGGATAACGAAGAGTAGCTGTAGTACGGCTCCCCTCTGGAGCGGGCTGATCCCAGCCGCCCCTACGAACCGCGGGTGCTTTAAGCCTTGCCTGGCTGGTGGAGCACACTGTTGTGGAGCCTGTGCTGCTGAGGGTCTGAGTGCACTGGGCAGACGTCCTTATTCTAACCCTAACGATGAGCAGATTTTCTCTACCCTGAGAAAAGCATTAGTCAAATTTAGGGTTATTTATTCTGGTTTGAGAAGCACTATGTAAATTACACTTTCGGGGACACCTCGTCTAATAGCCGCTACCCCAGCCCTGCCAGCTCCACGTCCCTTCCTGGAAACATTGCAGTCCGGCGGAGGTTCCTCCCGGCTCGTAACCACACCATGGCCAGAAGCCTCACTGGAAACGGGTGCTGCGTTACGGCACACCGCCGGCAGCGCGGCTTTTACCCCTGTCCGTGCGGGGCTGAGGAGGGCCCGCAGCCGCGCCGCTGCTCCCACCGCAGCAGAACGCGGTTACGGATGCGCTTGGTCCCTCCTTGCCCGTAGGAGCCGTTCGGGAAGGCGGCCCCGGGGCCGAGCAGCCCGTCCCCCAGGCACGGCGGCAGGCGGGCCGGGGCCCAGGCTCCCCACCGGCACGGAGCTCCGCGGCGGCGGGCCGGGAGGCGACCCGCAGCCCTCTGCCCGCCTCGGGACTGGCGCTCACCTTCACCCGCTTGCCCTGGATCTCCAGGCTCTTCATGGTGAAGTCCACGCCAATGGTGCTGCCTTGGCGCTCGGCGAAGGCCCCGGTCTTGAAGCGCTGCACAAGGCAGGTCTTGCCCACGCTGGCGTCCCCGATGAGCACCAGCTTGAAGAGGAAATCGTAGCTCTCCTCCGGGTCGGGGCCGGGCCCCGGCGCTGCCGGGCCGGGCATGGCGCTGCCGCCCTCCGGCCTTCCGCCCTTCGCAGAGGGGACCCGGGCTGTGCGCAGCGCCCGCCGCCCCCCGCCGTGCCAGGCCCGCCTCCCGCCCGCTCCCCGCCCCGGCCGCGGTGGCCGCCCCCCGGGCAGCCGTGACCGCCCCCGGCCGCGGAGGGCGCGGCTCCCGGCTCCCGGCCGCCTCCCGTCGGACTCCGCGACCGCCGTAGGCCGGTGACGGAGGGGCCTGCGCGGGTCGCGGTCCGGCCGGCACGAACTGTCGTGTGTGGGCCAGCAAGTTCGTTAGAGCGAGCCAAGCGGCACTGAGGAGCCGCTGACCGCAACCGCTGTCCCGGGACAGAGCCTCGACCGTGCGGGCATCCGTCCGCATTGCTGCCGGAGCGGCGTGTTTGTGCGGTGCATTCCTCCCGTTCCTGAGCCGTAGGAGCAAACAGGTGCCGTTTCCATGCAGTCATGCAGGAAGTACAGCCGGTTTGCCCTGTTGGCTGCTCATTTTTAGGTCCTGACCGGGGTGTGGTTTGTTTCCAGAGTCGCAGCCCAAGGCTCAGGGCTATGTTTATTCCCTCTTGCAAGGTGCTGCGCTGCCAGAGACAGCCTTAGAACTGCTGACACCATGCTACCTGTCTTACAGAGACACGTGTGTGTGTGTGAGTGTGTAGTGCATCGCAGGCTGGTTATGTGTGTCGAGATAAGCAATCTGGAGTTGTTTGTGTTTTGACTGCAACCTGGGTTATCTGCAAACCAAACTGCTCTTTATTAGACCCTCTCCTTTAGATTATGTGGTGAGTCAAGATGCTGATAAAAATCTGCTTTACTAATAAACTGCTTTGACACAGGACATTCTGTTACTCTGTTATTTGCACCAAAGATGTGCTAAATCCCATCCTCCTAGTTTCAAATGATAAAATCGTGAAACGGAACTGCTTAATGGCAGGAGAACAGCCTGAGTCATGAGCGAAGCAGGACAGACCAACCAGGCCAGTTTGGACTGAATTGCATTGTATCGATGTATTTCAGTGGTTCATGATTATTCCTTTTCAGGTCTGGATATGTGTTTTTGGTGGGCCATGGGAACCTCCCAGCAAGAGCAGAGGTATGAGTACTCCTTCAGGCTGGAATAAAGGCTTTCTGTTCCTGGTAGCTGTAACTGAATTAAGCTGGCAGTAGTTCTAAGGTATTGCTCAACCAGAACAGAGGAAGCGTTATGGAGGAAGTAAGACATCACCGTATATACGCTGTCATGCTAATGAGCACTATTTATGTTTTCAATGTCTGAGCAAAGCACCTCAGGGAATTCAGATTACTTAGGAAGAAACATTGCTAGAGATGAGTCTTTAATATTTAGAATTAACTTTGTGCCTTCATTTTACTGGAAGAATAAAGGTACTGCTTTAATGGAGAGAATTCTAAACCAGGTATTACATTATCTGTGCTACAGACCATCACAGACCTTTTTTATCTATTAACTGTCATTGTTGCTGCTTGTCAGCAGGAGCCTTTAATTGCTTCCAAAACAGAATTCCCCAAACAAAACCCATGATTTCTCACTTCATGTTGTTATACTCATGTGAGGGATCTTTCCTTAGTTCTCTCAAGTTGTGAGAGCTGTAAAGAGTGCTTTGAATGTTAAAATGCTCGTCTGGCTGTAGTTAATCCCCAAGCTCCGTTGGTGTTAACACCTGGTTCATGCAAAGATTAGGGAAAATCAAATGGGTTTGAGTCAATTCCAATTTGTATCAGGCTGTAGTTCACAGTTGTTCTTAAGAGGAGTAGAGGATGCTAAAAAGCACGCTCTACCAGTGTCTCTACTAGCACTGCTCTAGTAGTTACTGGAAAACAGCACCACGACATGGTAGAAGCCCCCCTGTACTGCCCTTAGCCACAGTGTCCTTTTCATTTGGCTCAGTTCAACAAGAGAAGGTAATTCTAATAAATGGATGGAATGGCAGAGCCTTTACTGCAGGTGCAAGGTTGCTTGCCGTTTCCACATGTGATAGTGGAAACTGCAATGGGTGAAGAGACTGTATACTGTTTCAGAGCAGTTGCTCCAGCTTTGGAGTTACAAAGCACATGAATTAAGGTCTGACCTAAGAAAACATACACAGTGAGCTCATGTGAAACACTGACAAAGCACAAAGAGGAGGCCTGTAATACATTGCTTGGTCTTCCACAGTGCTGTTTGAAGGCCCTGGGGTTCAAAGTAAGTGTTGTAACTATGCAATGACTTGCTAAGTTTGTAGGTTGCTGTAATTCTGAGCAGCAGCAAGCACAGCTTCCAGTATGGTTACAGAACAATTGCCAGTATAGTCCATGGAGGTTGAGATGACTTGGATTATAGCTTGCTTGGTACATTGTTCAGACTGTGTTCCAAGAGAAGTTTTCCAGCAAAGTTTAACACTTCCTCCTTTGACTTCTAATGCAGGCATGTGTTAATGATGTGTTAATGCTCCTTATGTGGTACAGCCTTTTCTCTGGTTAGATTATGGGTGAGAGAACATTGAATCATCTATATTTTTTGCTTGCTTTGGTATAGCCTGCCAGTTTTACAGCTGAGTCAGCTTGAAGGGATTGATTTCTTTAAGACAACAAAAGTAGTAATGTATTATAGTTCCTTTTATAAAAAATAGGTATCTGCTAAATAGTTAAATGCTCAGTTTTTATGATAAATGTACTATACACAAAGTATATTGGTTGGTTGGGTTTGCTGTTTTTTTTTAAAGTCATCAAGTCATGTTCCCATACTCACCATTACCTGACGTGGCCCCGTATAGCTGATGCATAAATTCTTAGTTGTGCATCTTAAGTCACGTGTATTCGGTGACTCTTGAGTTTATGAGAGACACCTGCTCTTCTTCCCATCTTGTAATATCTTGGATATGTTTTGATATTAGATGCTTTTTCTCTTGAAGAATGCACCCATGTTGGTAATCCTGTGGGCTCTGGCTTTGTACTGCCAGACAGGGTGAGGTTATCTTGAAGAAGTCTCTGATTTCAGCTTAGCACAGGTAAGCTGAGCCTGCTGAGCAATGCAGCCTGCAGCATCATGGGGCTGATCTCTTATGAAAACTGGTTATTCCATATTTTAACCAGAAGGATTTCGTAATAATACTGTTTAGTAATTCAGTCTGAAATGGATTACTAAATGAAATTAATGTTGTGTTGCTTTAAGCATATTTGTGTCTGGAGCTTTAAAGTTTAGCAGTGTCTGATGGTTGTCAGTTAAAATGTCAGTAGTTTTATTTTCACTTTTTTAGTGTCCTAAAACATTTTTGAGCAAAAAGAGGATGAGGAGCATTACCCGAGTGTTTGGTGGTTACGGGAGAGACAAAATTTTGCCCTCTCTGTGGCTGGGGCATAGACCTTTGAACTTATCTGCAAGAACTGAGGCGAATGGATGGGTGTATTGAGGACTGTCAGTAGTCAACAGATATTCTTGCTGTATGTGACAGGCTCTCTTTTCTCTATTCTGTGTGAGAAGTAGCTGAGGAGCAGTGTACAGATAGAGATGCTGACAGTGAGTGTAAGTGACAGTAAGAATCATGACAAATAGTGAAGCTCCTCTGTCTTACAGTGGGTTTTTCCTGGAGAGCCTTATGTGCTCTTTTATCCCATACTCAACCCTTTGTGCCTCGCAGCTGTAGTGATTGCAGCGCTTGGAAGACTCCTGGTGTCTTCAAAGTTGAGGCCACTTGAATCTCATATCCCTTGTGAGCTGTTCTAGCAGAAGTCCTGCTCTTGCCTGGTGTTCTGTTTCTGTACCAGCACAAGTGGCAGGAAAACTGTGGAGTTATAAAGAAGTTGCTGATGAGTAAACAGGGATGAATTTGGGGTTTGAAACTTCTCCAGCCAGGGGGTTTTCTTGAGTACTTCTGCCTGCTTTGAGAAACTTTTTAGTGTTTCCTTCATGGATGATTCCTAGCAAGGAAATAGCTTCTGTTATGCAGTTTGTCAGCACGGCGTATGACTTTGTCGTGTGTAATGTGTTTGTTAGTCAATGTGAGGGCTGAATTTGTTACCAGCCAAGTTTCAGAACAAGCTAAAATAAAAATGTAATTACATTCATGAAGTTCTCCAAGTTATGCATTTTGAGTAGTAGAAGCCAGAAGCTCTTTCCAGTTCCTTTCAGATGGCTCAGTTCTGGATACTGCCTTCATTGTTGTGTGAAATACTATATCCATATACATAGCTTAATCATCCTCTGGATGAATGCAATGCACATTCTCCTCTGCTTTGTTTCTAAAGGCTTTTATCAGTCTTAGTCACCCATCCGTTTTGCTTGTCTGTATGTATAGAGAATGAAAGACAGTCATTGCGTGGGTTTTATCTCAAAGGCTGTGAGAGGAGACATGCCACTTTAGAAACTAATTAATAGAACAGATTGCTTAAACCACAGCTGTTAATCACAGTTACAAACACTGAAGACTTGCTGATGAAACTAAAACCCTTGGTTCCTTGCAAGGAGGTTTATTTGGCAAATCATCACAGGCCTGTTCCGAGTAACTGTGGGGTTCCTTGAGTTGCTTGTTGACCTGTGTCCTCTTCAGACTGTGGACTTCAGCTGCACCTTCAGGAATGCAGATGAGTGAGGAGTGAGCGAAATGCCTATAAACAGTGTGCATGCTCAGTAGTATTCTGTTGTGCATTTCCAGTGCAGCCAGAGTCCCATAGAGCAGCAGTGTTTTGTGTTACAGTTGTATTGTCACTAGCAGCAGTGGAGGTGTGGCAATTAGGTCTTTGGGGCTTTACTGCTACCTGTGTAGGCTCAGATCCATATGTGATACAGTGTCAGACTTGGGAAGATAGGTGTATACAGGAATATAGCTACATCAAACCCTTCAGTTTAATTTAAGTCAGACTGGCAAGCTCTCAGCTCTTGTGTAAAGTGTGGAAAGGACATAAACCTTGTTCCTCTGCTGAAAGAACTGAGGGTTTCTTCATTGTTTTGTAGTAATTTGTTTCATTTCTTATATATTTGAGCTTTCTCTACAGCAGCAGACGATCTCACATGTGCAAAGAGAAGGACGTGTGGGACGTGCTTGGTCATCTCTTATGCCCTGAAAAGGAGCA